GATGGGCTTCTAAGATTTTTCATGTCGTCACGTTCCGTCTGGACGGCAGTTCTGCATTCAGTCTCTACGCTTTTGTCAACTGGACTGCAGGAAGATTGTTCCTTTGTTCATCGGGCGAGTACGATTCATATCTTTTGTCTCTGCACTCTGGACCTTTCGTACATATGGTTACGAATATAACCGCCGTTGGCTCCACCTTTACACATCCATGAAGACCAAGAAGAGTCTACTGGGGCTAGAGCATGAGGTTCCTTGCACGAGTAGCGGTAGGTATCCCTGCTGTTGACCCGCACGACCTGTCTAACTATCGAACAGACCCTTGACAGTGGTGAGCCTCAACTTGTCCCGATGCTGGTATTCCACACCGATAATTAGACCTACCGGTCTTGCTATGTGTTCAGCATTCTGCTCCACCAATCTCTGAGCCTCGAGCTGGCCCCCTCCTCGGAGACTTGCGTTGCGTATAGCAGCAAGCCTAATCCGGGGAAGTTTGGTGCAAATATCTAGGTTGGTACTATGTATGTCTCTGCTCCGTCTCGCGTATCCAAGCAGCCGTGGTCCTCCCGTATTCCTTCTGCTCTCTTGAGACTCATTACCCCGGATTTCTCACTTTTGGTTCTGACCATAGACCAGCGTCGCCAGCCATTGACCCTGTCAATGAGTCTTAGCCAGTGTACTAGTACGGCCGGCAGCTTGGGGACAAGCTGTCTTGCAGCCTCAGAACATTGTGGGAATTCTTACCTTTTGTACATGCATTGTTTCCAGGTTTTCTTTACGCCTTCAAATCCCTCGCGGCGCTCGTTTTTCGAGTCCATATCTTTCCCTTGCTCTCCCTCAAGTGTCGACTTCGGCTGAACTTGTTGATTGTCGAGCTGGGGTCGCGTCTCTTGATTTGCATTGCCGTCTCGCACATTGCCATGCAGGATGGGACTCGAACGTGGTTTGCACGCCGTGGTGACAGCTGCCGTCTTCAATACATTCGCGTTTGTCTTCATCGTGCTCCGGTGCATTTCTCGCTTTATGATCGTCCACCAGGCTGGGCCTGAGGATTATTTGATCATCTTCGCTTTGGTTCTCTCATTTGGTCTCACGGTGACGATTGTGCTTCGTGAGTACTTGAAGGTGTCTCCGGGAAACTCCTCCTCAACTGACACTACTTGATTTTTCTCAGAGAAAAATTGCGGTTTGGGTCGACATGCCGATACGGTCAGCGAAGAAGACAACGAGACCCTGTCAAAGGTATCCATCCAGCTTGATCCATTCCCATGGGCAACCACTCGTATCCTGCTAACAACCGATGGCAGCTACTCTACGCGAGCATCATCCTCTATAACTTGGGGTTGTTCTTGGTCAAGGACTCAATCCTCTACCAGTACTTGAGATTCTTTGTTGACAGGCGCTACCGTCTCGCCGCATGGGTTCTCATCATTTCCATATGTGTCGCTGGGGTAGCATTCATCCTGACCTCTTGCTTCTCCTGTTGGCCCATTGCCTTTTACTGGGACAAGACCATCAAAGGCGGCCACTGCATTGACCTCATGGCCTTCTGGTTCAGCTTGTCCGGCTTCAACATCGTCACGGACCTAGCGGTCTGGGTGCTCCCGATGCCTGTGCTGAAGAGCCTGAGACTCCCAAGGAAGCAGAAGTTCAGCTTGATCGTGGTGTTCTCGCTGGGTGGGTTGTATGCTTGAACCAGTCCCGGTCCTTGACAATGGCAGATTCTTTGTCCGGCTGACACCCCACAACAGCGGCTGTATCACGGGCATGCTCCGTCTCCACGCCCTATACATCGCAAGCATCTCGACCGACCTCACCTACGACAACGTCGGCGCCGCGACCTGGTCAGCTGCCGAGCTCAACGTCGGCATCATGTGCGCGTGTATCCCCGCCATGAGACCCGTCATCAACTGGATGTTCCCATTCCTACTTTCCTCATCGCGTTACAATCGCGATTCCAACCCGTACCCCCCGAGGACGTCGTACCTACGACATGACAGCGTTGTCGAGATGTCGCAGGTGGCCAAGGCCCAGAGCGAAGTGAGCCGAGGCGACACGGCCCGCTTCGACCGGGGACACGATCCGAATGCGATCCGCATCAAGAACGAGTGGTCTGTCAGTGAAAGCGAACGAGTTTGATGTCTTGTGTGATCAGGTTCCAGCCAGGGAAGGGAAAGAGACATACGAGACGGGATTATGACGGGATTGAAAACAAACTGCGAAACTGCGAAGCTGCGAAGCTGCGAAGGATCGCAGGATATAAAATAGGTGGAGATTTCGCGAAGAGGACCACAATGACCTCGTGTATGGGTCATGCTATGACCTGCTCAAAGGTTATGGCTGCATTGACGAGAATCACGGCGAGTGTGGCAGCCACTGATACCCACTTGCTACCATTTCCTCACAACGCTATGTATACGGACGATCCTGGGACGGCACTTTTTTTCGTTAGTTGGGCGTCTGTGCGGATCCATTTCTGTCGGCTTACACAAGGCCCCAATGTCGTTTGGGCGTGGTCATCTGCTACATTCGAGCATACGGGGGTCGGCGTTGCTGGCATTTTGTCCATTTTTTCCAGCGCAGAGAAGAACACTAAATATCAGGGCGTCCTCCATGATCTACGCGGATAAGGACAAGAACAAGAATAAAAACAAGAAAGTATTTCTATTTCCATGTCTAGGGTCATATTTTGTCCATTGGCTTCTGCTGTTGCGGGCCCCCTTCTACACCCCATTCTTCACCTTCCCGCCCGTCCGCTCCGCCTCCAACAGCGCAATGGTGTCCTGCGTGATTGAATCCAGGTTAGAAATGGTCGAGCCGGGCCCCTCGGGCATCGGACTGTCGATGTAGACCCTTCGGGTAAAATTCTTCAGCGTCTCCAAGACGGTGCCGCCCTCGTAATCGCCGTTCTCGACCAGTTCCAGCATGACGGCCGCCTGCTCCTCCGGGGTGATCCAGACGTCCTTTTCCGTCGCCGCCTTGAGCTTCTCTGGGTGGTCGGACCATAGCGGCGTGTACACCATCCCCGGGGCGACGGCGACCACTTTGATCCCAAACTCCTCGTGCAAGGGGGCGAGAGATCTCACAAGGGCTGAGACGCCCGATTTCGCCGCACTGTATATAGGCTGGTTGAACAGCATGCGTTGTGCGGCGAGGGAGGAGATGTTGAGGATCACGCCGACCGTGCCGCCGGCTTTGCGGCCCTTGGAGCGGGTGATTTGGTCGCGGATGGCCAGGCGCGTGCCTTTGATGAGGGCCCCGAGGTTGATGTCCAGGGACTTGTAACTCTCTGTCTCTGTGTCGGTCCAGAAGTTGGACCATGACTGGCAAGACACGATTAGAGGGAGAGACCAGAGTTGAAGAGGAGAGAGGGGTCAGTCAGGGAAGAAAGGGGTCGTGGCTGGAGACACACCGGTTCAAAGACGCCAGCACCGTTACACACAATATCGAGAGCACCGAGTTCGGTCTGTGCACGTTTAAACAGGGCCTCAAGTTCGCTCCAGTTGGACACGTCGGTCTTCTGGAACAACAGCTTCGTCGGGCGTGGCTCTTTGGCGAGTTCCTTTAACGCGGCAGATTCTTGCAGGTCGCCCACGATGACATTGGCGCCTTTGCTGACGAGCAGCTTGACGAAGGCGAGGTTGATGCCTGCGGAATCACGACTCGAGGGTCAGTTTGGGTTCTGGAATGCAGGGAGGTTTGGATCGTGTTGTACCTGATGCGCCGCCTGTGACGATTGCATTCTTGCCTGCGACGGGAAAGGACATGGTGAGGCTCTGAGGTTCGGAGGAGTTGGTGGTCCTGATCCTAGCGATTCTGTGTCATTCAACCTGTTGGACTTGGGCGCAGACATGAATTCGAATCTGGACTTTGACCTCCTCATCTCCTCAGACATCGCAATCATGGACCAGATGCCCTCGGCCAACATCACAACATCACCAGCACCAGATCTTGGGGAACATTGGGGAAACAGGGACAAGTGCTCCAGTCACAACCAATCCTCTCGCTACTCGTGTTACTTTATTTGGTCTTTTGCATCAAGTCCCTCGGTTCTCCGCTCGGTCGTCAAGCCAAGAGAAACTCTCGTCCATCGTCCTCCTCCACCTCCACGTCCATACAAGGCTGGAGTCACCAATCAAAGTCACCAACCTCGATTCGGGAAGGACTGTCGTTCAGAGAGGGGAGCGGAGTCAGCGGTCTCAGTGTCAGGGGATAGGGTCAACCCCATGATACCCAAAGAGCTGGTTCGCTAGAGCACAAACGGCGCAGATTGGGCCCTCGTTGGGATGCTTGGATGGTACAAGAACCTCGCAACGCCTTGGCCCTCGGATCGTCTCCTCCGTCCAGCCATCCAGTTGGTGCAAGTGAGGGACTAAAGCCGAGAGAAATGGATCCTCTCGCCATTGCTATTACCTTTGACCTCCTACCTCGACGCTCTCGGCTATACCAAGCACAACAACAGGCTCGCTTGACCACATCACCACACCACCCAATGCCACAGCACTCGTATCCCAGACTTTTGGCGGAAAATCCAACCGTGCTCGTGGCCTCTCCTAGCTATGGTTGTCTCCAAAGATCACGCCGTCTCCAAGGTTGTCCTCGTGGGGTCTCCTATTGCTGCTCAATACGAACCATGGCCTTTCCAACGACACATCTTGGTACACAACATCTCAGTTTAGTTGGCAAACTCTCTTGAGATCACTGCCCTTCCCCAAGGTTCCCCAAACATCCTCCAAACATGATGGGAAGACGTCGTCCTGGACCTGCTTTGATCTTCTCTGGCCAGGCGAGAAAAAGACTGCGTGGTACAGAGTCTCTGGAAGCGATGCCTGTCTCGGTCTCCACTCTGGGGTATACAGGTGCAAATCCTGGAAAGGTGGCAATTTGCTCTCTAGCCTCCTGCAGGGTTATATAATTGCATCCCTTGGGATGCGATCTTCCCTGTCAAGGGTCATTCAAGTTCTCCTCGTGGATACCTCTGAACAGTCCTTGCGCAAAGCAAAATGGCTCTTTCCGCAGCGACACTTCGTTTGTTGGTAAGTTGATACCGCTTTGCGACATCTGGAACCATATACTCATTCCGTCAAAGATCGTCATCTTCGTCGCCCTTGGGAGCACAACCTACGGTTACTGTGCCTCCATCATCAGCACTACCCTGGCACAGCCCTCCTTTATCGCTTACTTTGACCTTGACACTCGGTCCAATGCCACCGATCTGACCGGGTCCATCTTTGGCCTGTTCCAGACCGGTGGCTTCTTTGGCACATTGTCGTGTTTGAAGTCGGCTGACTGGTTGGGTCGACGCAAAGCACTCTTCTATGCAGGGTTGGTCACCACCGTAGGCGGAGGTCTTCAGGCTGGGAGCGTCAACATTGGAATGTACATCTTTGCACGGTTCCTCACTGGTGTCGGTATTGGTTAGTTGACCCTCTTTGTATTGTCTTCGAAGGAGACTAATCTTCTCGGACAGGTGCTCTCGTCACTCTTGTGCCGCTCTACCAGAGCGAGATTGCGCCCCCCAAGATTCGAGGCTTCCTAGTCGCCATGCACGGTGTGATGCTGTGTGTTGGCTACTCAGCCGCCAGCTGGGTTGGGTTAGGGTTCTACTTTGTCGATGCTGGCGGGGCACAATGGAGACTCCCCCTGGCTATCCAGGCGCTTTGGCCTGCGGTGCTTTCTGCGGGAGTTTTGTTCCTGCCCGAATCTCCTCGATGGCGTAAGTTACTTATTGGTGCCGGTGCGATCCCTATACTGATGAATCGCAAACAGTGCTGGATCACGATCGCTACGAAGAGGCATTCGAATCCTTCAAACGCGTGCGCGCCGAGTCGTCCGACGCCTTCTTGAGCGACGAGGCCGCTCTCAGAGCCGACTTTGCCATCCTCCGCGAGCAGATCATATTTGAGAAACAACAGCAACTGTCCCTGTGGGATATTTTCCGCCTGCCACATTATCGCAAGAGGCTCATTGTCGGGTTTGTGACCATGGTCGCTCCCCAGGTCACCGGCACGCAGATTATTTACAGTATGTTTTTCTGGATTTTGCGTCCCCTCTGGAATAACGATTCTAACGCTCATGGTTTAGACTACGGGTCGCAGCTGTATAAGAGTCTCGGGTTTAATACCCTCGAACAACTCCTCCTGAGCTGTGGATGGATCACTTTCTCGCCCTTTGGGAACTGGTTCAATGGCCTGGTCGTGGATAGAGTCGGCCGAGTGCGGATGCTGCGTACGCAATGATACCCTCTTTCTCCTCATGAATCTCTGGAATATCGACTAATTGTGACAGTGATTGGAATCATCGGCTGCGTGCTCTGTCTTGTGGGCGAGGTCATCACGCTCGCGCAGCTCGACAAGGGTGAGAACAAGGCCGCCACCAATGCCGCTGTCTTCTTCCTGTTTTTGTTTGTCGGTTTCTACGCAAGTTTCATGTAAGCCCCCACCTAATTGTACCAGTGTTGCAGGACTCGGCAGAGATTCTGCCCTTCATAGGACTTTGAGCTCAAGGCTAACGACGACACAGCGATGCGACCACATACATCTACGCTTCGGAGATCTGGCCAACTCCCATCCGGGCGAAGGGGCTGGCATTGTCCATCTCGGGCCTGTTTCTCTCGTCACTGGCCATTCTTCAGGGGTAAGTTCGCCCTTTACATCTTCCCATCCACCTGCCCCTGTACATTTCATTCCGATACGTATACTGACTGGCTGTATTTGCGTCACACAGCGCTCCAGCCGGTTTCGCCAACATCGGCTGGCGATACTACCTGGTCTTCATCTCCGTCACCTCTGTCATGGTTGTCTTTATGTTTTTCTATTTCCCCGAGGTAAGCATTGGAAATTGTCTCCTCGGGACAGACAGTGTCTCCCGCGCCCTTTGACTTCTGATACGTGTGACTGATAATCCGGACCACAGACCAAAAAATTGAGTCTCGAGGAAATCGGTGAGATTTTCGGTGATGAAGTCGCGCATGTCGACGCCAGCACCGCGACGGCCATGGGCGAAAAGGGCGTGACGGAGCTGCACATTGAGACTACGGATGTCAAGTAGTAAAGTTTGGGAGAGGTGGTGATTTGAGACTGGCGATCTAATTTGATATGGGTGAATGAAGGAGAGGAGCGAGGAGGACAGATTGGCAATTGATCATTGACAGTTGGGAAGTCACGATTCGACAAAGGGAAACAGTCCCTAGGAAAATGACAACAGTGGGCGGTGCAAAAATGATAATCATACCCTTGGTACCTCCAGTAGCAGCCTAGTAGGTACATGATGAACTAGCATACATAAGAGATTAATACCTCGTCTTTTAATACCATGGTCATGGTCTCTACAGAACGAAATACCCTTCACGAACATGTATCTCGCATGTGGAGTTAACCTGGCACCGGCGTCAAATTACCTGGCAGTAACAGGTCAATAAGCGAGCGAGATCTCACGAACCAGTGTGGCGGGTCGTGGTCGTGGTCGTGATCGAGCCTCATCCGTGTATTCATCCCGGTGCTGGGGTGTTGGATGGATGCATCCGCCTCAAGCGTGCGCGTGTGTAGCGACATGCATGGGTGCATGCCGCCATCGGTACGTGAGGTACATATACATAGGTATACCTTTGTGATCGTCTACCACATGGCATGGCATGGCTTGCATGTGGGAAGGGAAAGGGGGATTCGTAGCATCCCTACCGTGCCTGATTTTTGTCCTTCTATCCAGACCTGCCCTGCCCTGCCCCGATCTACCTTACTCCATCCTTCACTAGGAAGGGAATGGTATGGTATGGTATGCCATGCCATGCAATGCCAGTCGGAGAAGCCTCAGGCTGAGCCTCAGACCGAGGCCGAGGCTTAAGCCCAATCTCATTTCCATCCGCAAGAGACGCTTCAAGGTTCTGGGGAAGGGGAAAGAGAAAGTTGAAGGCGTCAAGTTGATGGAGAAAGTCTTGGAAGGGGGAGAAAGCCTTGGAAAGGGAAAGGGCAGGCAGGGGTAAAAGGGAAGGCGAAAGGGAAGGAAGGGCTGCTTGGCATTGGGGAAAGAAGAAAAGGGGTAACGCTGAGTGTGCCTCTACACTCTTGTAGTTAGGTATTCTAGGGACTTTAGGTAATGGCAACGGCATTCTTGTGCCTTGGCCGCACTATTTCAATGGCTCGATCAAGTCACTCCTGCCCTGGTTTGTTGGGGGTGGCGAGTATGGTGGCGGTCGTCGTAACGCGCTCCAAGGGTGTGCAGGGTAAACCGCGAAGTGTGAGTGTGATGGTGGTGATGGTGAGGACGAATGAAGTACAAAGATACCTTCGGTCCGATAGCTGGGATATCTCTCTACCTCCTCGTCTACCTCTACTAGGTTAACAGAATGGGTACGACGTACTCGGGCTTGATAGGGATATAGCGAGTATCAGATTCCTAACAAGGAAGTAGGTGTGGTATATGATGATATTGTAATGTATTATATAACCATGCATCCATCCCCTATACCATAATATATAGCCACCACCAAATTGCCGTACGAGGCTGAGTTTACGATCTCACACCAAAACCATTCATTTCACAAAAGGGCAAAGTACGTCTGTGGTACGTCGAGCGTCGACAATACGTACATACCATACGGACAGGGCAGGAGAAAATAGATGGACGTATCGATGGATGGACAGTCATGATGATATTACCTACTCGGCCTCCCATCAACAACGCGACAACGCCAACCACCTATACAGGTGACTCAATCATGTCAACAAAGAGGTCGGGTCTACCGAATCAAACGGAATCTAGACCTGTGCAACGTCATGGGGTATTAAGAGAATAGACATCCCTGCGCCTGAAACCTCCAGTCTACGACTCTATTCTATTCGTGGCAGATATCATGCTCCGTCTGTCGACCATTACCGCCTCACCGTGTCACCTCTCTGCGCCCCGTTTACTGATTCAAACCGGCACCAGTCATGCAGCAACAAAACTCCCTCACAACGCTCGAGGCCGTGCTGGTCGTATTGGCTCAATCGGCACCACTTCGCCAACCTCGACGTCGTGCACCGTGCTCGCCACAGTATCGGCAGTCTTTGGCCTCTCGTCAGTCCGTCCCCTGGCCTGATTCAACGCCGTCATTTCCTCGTTCTCGGCAATCCTCGTCATGCCCGCATCAGGCTTCTTCAACTCCACCCACACAATCACGACGCTCACGTAGATGATCCACACCAGCGCACCACACACGCCATATGCAATCTTCCACCCGCTCGCCCACTGGGGTCCCTTGAAGGTGGCTGCGAATTGGAAACCCAGACCGCCATCCACGATCCCGAGAAGGATCAGCACACGCCCAAGCCAGAGATGGATGTGCACAAAGTGCACCACCTTGGGAACCTTTTCGTGGAACCAGTGCAACTTCATCAGAGGCTGGAGACCCAGGAGGCCTAGAGTGACGAGGCCGATGACGCAGTGGTAGTGGTCAAGCTGTAGCGAGGAGCTCCAGTTAGCGAGAAGCTATTTGAGCAGGAGATACAAACACATCTGGTCTACTCACAGCATTGATTTTCAAACCCATCCATATCCCTAAACCCGTCGACGCCACAAACACGGCCAATGCAAACATCTGGATTGCCGCATGGATCCACACGATATGACGATGCGGCCACACTTTGACAATGATACCACCGAGAGGAAAGCAGAACAGAAATGCCGCCGCCCCCAGAGCCGCATGAGCGATCTTTGCTTCTCCAAAATATGACGGAAACTTGCTTGCCCCCTTCGACCAGGCGGCTGGGCTTGGAGCGTAGGCTGGATTAGACATTGGACTCGTAGTTGTCAGCCATGAAGACGAGGCTGAAGCGATCGGCACCGTGGGCGTCGGGGGAGATGCAGGGATGAGTTGCGCCCCAGTCAAGGTTGCTAATCATTCATGTCAGTGTCAAGTGCTGATCGTCTTTCGGCTTACAACATGCCCTTGAAAGAGTTGGCCGTAAAGAGCCTGCGGGCAGACGTACCAGAAAGGCTGACGAGCAGCAAGAACGTGCTCGACAATTTGTTCAAGGCCATATTGCTTCAAGCCGTGTAGGAATCCCAAGTCCAGCTCCCTCCAACCTCGTTGGGTGAAGGGAAACGAGCGGTTAATCGGCAGAAATCAGGAAGAGTGTAACGTCCAGACTGCAGTGGCCTCGCACAAAGAGCCCTTTGACGTTTGCAGAAATCCATTGTAGCCGCTCCCCAAAAAGGAAAAGTAGAATCTGGACTGGAATGTGAGACGCACACCGAGCGACAGGGCTCGAGCCATCCTCCCTTTGTTCTGGACAGATGAGATTGCATTGTTAACCCTGATCCAACTTTGAGCTGAGACTCATACCCTGCGCTCGGTCCAACATAACTCGTGTTATTTTTGGACAATCCCAGCAAACTATGCTCAGCTCATTGAAACTAGCGTCATGGAGCCAGCGAGCTGTTCTTCGTCCACCAATCAGCCCATCTGACAACCTTCTTTTCCCTCCTGGCCTCTTCTGCTGCAAACACCACCGCATGGCTCAATATGATCTCTTCCAGGTCACACCCGACCAGTTCCCTTTGTGCTTGGGCGATATCCATTGTTCCAGCATTGACGTTCTGGACAGCTTGGACAAAGGCTCCAGCCAGACCCCAATCACCGCCGCCGTGGCTCTTCTCCACCTCTGGTGCCTGTTTGGGAATATCATGCACAGTCGTTTTCCCATTAGCAAATGTGTGCACGGTGATCTTGTGTGAGTCGTAGCTGATTTCGCCAAGTGTCCCGTAAATCCATCCTCGCCGTTCGCATTGCGCCTGGGTCGGATAAGTCATGTGGAACAGCGCCCTCTTCGGTCCCCGACCGAGATCCTGGCCGTGTTCGGGATCTTCTTCCCACTCCATTGTCACAACCTGGTCATCAACCACATCATTATCTGCTTCGTACACGCAACGGCCATACCAACTCCGTCCTGCAACGACATTGTCAGGAGTAGTGGCTTTGTCGTAGTCCTCTGCAAGCCTTTCCATAAGTTGCCCTTCCGCCGCATTCCAGCCCTTCGTTGACACAATGTCTTCGATTTCGGGCACCACGATCTTGAGAGGCCAGCCAGTATCTTTCTCCTGCCGAAGCCACCGATCGCGGTAGAGCTTCTTCGCAGAGTAGATGCAATCTGGCTCCGCAGGGCAGGAAAGGCAATTAGTCGCCGCACCTGCAGCCTTTGGCTTTCTCGCTCGGCGGAAATGCGTAAGGGCTCCATTGCTGGATACGGTGGAGGGGAAATGGGGGATTGGTCCGGTCAGAGCACTGGGCGAACAGAGCAGCCACAGGATGAAGTCAATATCGTGGCCGGATTTGGTGAGGAGTGAGCCAACACCTTCTGGAGTAGAGCGGCGCCAGTTTCCGCGAACATAAGAGTGCGAGAAATGCCACCACCCGACGGGCTCAGTGTGTTCAATGGAGACAATCTCACCAATGGCCTGGTCACGAGTCAACAGCTTGCGCAGGAGGATGTTATGGGGTGAGTAATGCAGCACATGGCCGATCGAAACCACTTTCGGAGGATATTTAGACAACGCCGAGGAGATAGACAGACAGTCGGACAGGGACAAGGCCAAAGGTTTCTCGCAGAGGATGTGGAGGTTCAAGGGTGCAATGGCACGGATTATAGGGGCATGTGTCTCGTCCAGAGTGCATATGAAGACTCCAGTTATAGGGACATAGCCGGGCTCGGGTCCTCCAGCCTTGTCTGCGTCTTCCCTGCGTCTCTTCTCCCATGCCACCCACTCTTCCCATGGCCCAAAGGACTGATGTTCCGTAGGTTGTCCATCTCTTCCCCAAATGTAACGTCTTCCAAATTCTTGTCGCTTGAAGGGGTCAACCTCCGCTACGGCGGCAATCGTGCCTGATGTCGAGGCTTCAACGGCACGGGCATATGCATTGCCTCGAGATCCAGCCCCGATGACAAGAAATTGCGGTGGATGTGGGGGTGGTTCGATGGAGCCCATTGTGGTCAGGGTCGTGGATGGCAGTGTTAGAACCTCTGGTCAGGACCTGCAGCACAGAAGTGCAGAGGGCAACCAGGGTATATATGCCAGGCTGGCGCCTGAAGAGGGTGGGACAGGCTCATCGAAGCGTGCACCATGTGTAACATTGAATGCGGGGTGAAAGATAACAACGAGGTGTCACCCCAATTTATTTGAGCGTCATTGGTCAGCCTCGTCACAAACGAGGCTGCACGGCTGTTCTCCGTCTACCTAGTCAGGGGTTTGTTGCTTGCTGGCAGCCACTTTACCCGTTCCAGGGCAGAGTGGCATCAGCGTCTGGACAATACCACTTATCGACCTCCAAGATGTGCGTCCAGCTACCACCGGAACCGGCAACATAATCTGCGCTGACGATGCTCTGGGGCCGCCCTGCAATTCCAGGTCGCATCTGCAAGAACATCCTGAAGAAAGCCATGGCGACAACATCGCTTCCCAGGGCCGTCAAGGCGTCTTTCTGGCGTGGTGGCACTTCCAAGGGCGTCTTTCTCAACTCAGGAGATCTGCCACAATGGTTCACTGGAGATCTATCCGCAAGAGAGCCACTCGAAGAGGCCACGATCAAACGAATGGAGGATTTTTTCGCAGTGGTCATGGGATCTCCCGACCCGTATGGCAGACAGCTCAACGGCATGGGCGGTGGCATTTCATCTCTAAGCAAGGCCATGATCATTCACCCATCACCACAGCCAGATGCCGATATCGACTATACCTTTTTCCAAATTGGTGTCAAAGACGGTAAGTTGGACATGGCTGGCAACTGCGGCAATCTGACCTCGGTGGTTGGGCCTTTTGCATTAAATTCTGGACTCATTCAAACCGATATCAAAAGGTACGGCCACTGGGTTGAGGATGGGGATAATGCCACCATCACTTTGCGAATGCGAAACACCAACACGGCCAAAATCATTGAGTCTACCTTCCAAGCGACCCGTTATGAGGGCAAATGGGAATATCAAGAGCTCGGCAGCTGCAGCATCGATGGGGTGCCCGGGACAGCGTCCACGATTACATTATCATTCCTGAACCCACAAGGCGCAAAAACTGGCAAGGCCTTGCCCACGGGCAATCCCACCGACAGCGTTCAGATCGGGCACCAGACAGTCCTAGCATCCTTGATAGATGTCAGCAATCCAGGAGTGTTTATTGATGGCAGAGACGTGGGATGGAATGCGGATGCGACACCAGATCAGCTGAATTCTAATCAAGAACTCCTGGAAAAACTTGAAGCCATACGAAAACGTGGCACCGAGATGATGGGCTTAGACCCCAACATTAGCAGCATACCCAAGATTGTCTTGCTGTTCCCTGCTAAAGGCGAAGGCTTGGATATATCATGCCAGGCTCTCTCCATGGAACAGGCACATAAAGCCGTCCCCGTCACATTGGCCCTTAACCTGGGCGTGGCATGTAAGATGGAGGGAACTCTTCCGCATGCCATGTCAAAGCACCTGCACCACTCCAATACCATCATTGGCCATCCGTCGGGCACTCTGGAGGTCGGTGCCGCCATCAGAAATGGCGCCATCATTGGTGCCAAGCTGATCAGAACTGCACGGTGTCATATGGACGGTTATGTCAACATTCTGCGATTTGGACAAGGCGTACGTGGTTTCTGAATCGTGCCTCGTAAACCACACCGTAGAGTTTAACGGCGCTGGATACACAGTCAGCCAGTGTAATAAATCATCACTTTCCTCTGATGCTTCCATACCCCGCGCGCTAATGAGCTCAAGAAGCTTCCTTTCGTCAGTTCGGGAAGTTTCGGTTCACAAATCATTGTCGGAGATGGCGCCCAACCCCAGGAACAATGAGCTCATGGCTTCGAGAAACAAGCCGTGGGGGGTTCCGAGGGAATCTCCTCAAATATTGTTCAAGCTCTTTATTGCATTGAGACATCGCACACTTCCGACCCCTCCCACTCTGTATCGCCAATATAGCTGTTTCAAGAGATTAGCTTGTCTGACACTGCAGTCCACCATTCTCAACATCTCCCTATCCGATCCAATTTTCCAGTTGAAAGGCTCTGACCATGTCGACCCACACGGGAATGGGTGCGTGCTGCCTCTCCGGAGTCGTGCACGAAGGCACCCCCAAAGGCCGTGAAGACACGATTGGCGGTCTGCCAACATACATCGCGGAGCCCGCCAACAAATCCACCTCCAAAACCGTAGTCTTCATAACCGATATCTTTGGCTGGAAATTCAAGAACGTGCGACTCCTGGCAGATGTGTATGCGAATGCAGGCTTTTATTGTTATATCCCAGATGTTCATGAAGGTGATTCCATCGACATCGAATTCCTCAAGAGTATCGAGCCACCATTGAAGCAAAAAGAGCAGGAAGGGCTTCTGGACAAGGCGAAAGAGACGGTCGACGTGATGGCCACGCTGGGGCCGTGGTTGGCCAGGCATCGGGAATCTGTTGCTGAGCCGCTCATCAGCGGATTTATCAACCATGTCAAGACCATACCGGGGACGAATAAGATCGGGACGGTAAGCTTCTGTTCTTCTCTTTCCGAAATAGCATCTGCCGGGGCCCTGTCAAGGTGATCGGCCAAACGGCCTCGCATCTAGATGGTGGACAAAATGCTGATCTTTCGGGGTCGTGGTAACAGATCGGTTTCTGCTGGGGTGGCCGATACTCTATTCTCCAAGCCCACGGTCGCAAGGAGGGCCAAATCGGCGGCGTTGATGCCGCCTACGCCTGTCACCCATCCCTCCTCTCCATTCCAGCGGACATCAGCCCGGTTTCGAAACCCACCAGTGTCGCCGTTGGTGAAAAAGATAGTCTTCTCGACATGAAATCGGTAGATCAGCTCAGAGAGGCGCTCGAAAAGACCGGCGTGCCCACTGAGGTGAAAGTCTATAAGAATCAGGTACATGGATTTGCCTTGAGAAGCGACTGGAGCAGTGACGAGGACAAAAAGGCAATGGATGATGCGGCAAAGCAGGGGATTGATTGGTTCAACAAGTATCTTGTCGAGCCCTGACATTAAACACTCCTTTTAATAAAGGGGCGTACAGAATCAGTCTCTTGAAGTCAGAGCATCTCCGACTCTCACCAGTGTACACGAGATGATGGTTAGATCGAGGAGGCGTATGTCTGCCGTGTGCCCGTCTTCATAATTTGGGGCTTGCTCTCAATGAAAGGGTAGTAGCCCCGTGGCAAATCAGTCGCAAATACCGAGTTGTTTACTCTTCTTCCAGCAGCCTATCCCCGTTTTATGTACTGAAGCCTTGATGCCAATGAAGGCTTTTCAAGGTGGATCAGATCGGATGTATGTCTCCATCCCTCCTGTCAGTAGGAAACCCCAGACTCAATATCATAAAAAGTAAAGTAGGATTCAAAGAAAGACTGTGTTTGGCAGACAGCCGAAGTCGTTCAACGCAGTCAGAAATAGTGTTAGCTCACATAGAGGGTGGAAGGCATAGAGGCCTTTGGCGGCAAGATGAGCAAGAGCTTCGGAAGTGGATGGCTAAATGCGATGCTCACCTTAGAGCCCGAGAAAGAGTAGTCCATTGACTTGATCTCTCCCTCAGTTCGGGGCATCCCAACTTCGGAGACTCCCGAAAGGGGTTGTTCCATATTAACAACAGCTCCGATGACAGGACTCACCCCGGATTTGCGGAGGGTCATGCTGTGCTTAGGCGCATGGTTTCTGACCATAGTATGTCTTCCTGGTCTCGGCACGTTTAATCGACTCTAATCATAGCAGGGAATAATGCCTTGTCTCCTGCACTATCCAGTAGTGGTTTGATAAAGGATGGGACAACAGCCATGCACTCATGTAATCTCGATGCCGCGATGCATGGGCGAGCCTTTTCCCCGAGGTTTCTCTATTGGAGCTCTCGAGGGGTGCTTACGTTTCATAATAACGGGAGAAGATGATTCATCAAAGCTTTGACAAGGCTGAGATACTTCTGGACATCGTGAAGACAGCCATTGGCCGCAGATTTGTGGCCCACGCTTGATGCTGATGCGAAGCCGATTGATCGGCTTGATGACCCATGAAAGCAATACCATCTCCAAAGGTATGGAGCTTTCTTGGTCCACTTTCACGCTGCCCGCTGGATTCGAGTAGATGATAGAACGTCCGGAACTCGGCGTAGTTTGAAAGCAGCCATCGTCCTGCCACAGGGGTTTCTCAGCGTGATCTTTCACAACAAAGCATTGGAGGCCCTTAAATAGCAGCGTTAAAAGTTGGAAAACACGTATCACCCTGAACTGGTATCCAGAGGGATGCACGGAGGAGCTGTTGCAGCGGACAGCAAACCTAGGTCCTGATGATGAGGTCAGCGCTGGATCTATCATCGCCAACATACCTTGCGCAGAGGCCGCTCATCGCGTTGCCTGCGAATTGGTGTCTGTAGAAGAGCGTGCACAACAGAAAACACAGCAGCCATTCAGCTCTTTGACGTGAATAGGCACCATCACCCAATGCTCCAGACCCAGCGGCGCCAGCACCTGCTCACGGCATCAGGCCACAATCCCCGATCCACGGTCCACTCGAAGCCCACCTCCAATCCTTTTATTCCATCCTCGTAGCTTGCTTTTGCCCTTGGAGCCCCACGTGGAGTTGCGGGCGCGTCGTTATTCATTTCGTAGATAAGCCAGCAATTCGCATCAGTCAAGGATCCAACCTTGTGGGGATGCCGCAATGCTTCGCAATGCTTAACGCAGTTTAGCTCGTCCAGCCCCATTTCCCGCAGGGTCCGTTGTAGAGCCAAGAACTGATAAGCATCTTCCCCATTATTGGATGCACTACCCCAGCATTCATCTGCCCTTTGCTTTGGCCCGATATCCCATTTTCATCTGTGCAATTGCTTGCAAACCCAATCGCGTAGTCGCTCTGCTCGGGGTCATGGATGATAAGGAGGCGAATGCCTGTGACCTATCACTCGGGCTAGAACACAGCTGTCAACGCCACGTTGTGCCTGCATCGGTCGTCAACACGGCGACATCCCTTTCGTAACTCAAGCTTGTGTGTGCGCCAAAGGCAATAATGTCACCTCAGGGCGAATCATGACGTGTTGCTGGGATAGATATCGCTTGAATCCCGGCCTAGGGGTCCTCTAGACAGAGCATGCATGTCGTATGGGTGGTTCGAGAGCTGGAGAGCTCACCTTTTCTTTTTCGTCGCGTGCGTTGCTGGCATTCTTTTTAAATCCTCGCTCCTCCTCCTTGCACGCTCTTCAACGTGTCTATGTGAGTTTCTCTCCTCCCCTTATCTTGTCAGGGCTGAGAATCAAGAACACGGCTGAGTGAAGCAACTCTTCCACTGGTGAACCCACCACTGACCTCATCCCGAATCTGTTGGCCTCGATGTCCCCTGGACATGCAGCCAGCTATCGCGCCCAGCGCCGCTGGGATGCCGACACACTCGTTGCGCCTGACTGGCTCAACAATGGGGATAACGCCTGGCAGTTGACGGCTGCGACCCTTGTCGGACTCCAATCCGTCCCGGGCCTGATGGTCATGTACGCAGGATTGGTGAAAAAGAAGTGGGCCATCAACTCAGCCTTTATGGTTTTATACGCCTTTGCCGCGGTCCTCATTTGTTGGGTGGTTTATGCATACCGAGCGGCCTTTGGCAAGCAGATGTTGCCATTCGTTGGTGTGCCTGGCCCTGCTGTCGAAATGAACTACGAATTGAAGCAGGCGTACTTGCCAGAGGCCGGACTCTCGGCAGCATATCCAATGAGCACCATGGTATACTTCCAGTTCGTCTTCGCGGCCATCACACTTGTTCTTGTCGCGGGGGCCGCCCTGGCAAGAATGAACTTCCTGGCCTGGATGGTTTTTGTGCCACTTTGGTTGACTCTCAGCTACGTTGTGGGCGCGTTCAGCATCTGGGGAGGTGGCTTCTTGTTCGACATGGGCGTGTTGGATTATTCGGGAGGATATGTCATTCACGTCTCATCAGGCACAGCTGGATGGGTCCTGGCATATTGGGTTGGCCCTAGACATCCTCGCGATCGCACCGAATTTCACCCGAACAACGTTCTGCTGGCCCTTGTCGGTGTCGGGCTCCTCTGGCTAGGTTGGAATGGTTTCAACGGTGGCGATCCTTATACCGCTTCGCCCGATGCCGGCGCTGCCGTGCTCAATACCAACGTGTGCACGGCAATGAGCATGTTATCCTGGACTATTATGGATCTCATATTTTTCAAGAAACCAGCCGTTATCGGGGCCATTCAAGGCATCATCACTGGCCTGGTTGCCATCACGCCTGCTGCCGGGTTCGTCGCAGGATGGGGTGCCATTATCATTGGGATTTGTTCTGGTGTGATTCCTTGGATGTCAATGAACATCCTCGGCAAGCAGAAGTGGTTCCTCGAATTTTCTGACGACGTGGTGGGAGATTTCCATACACACTTGGTTGGCGGCGTTGTCGGAGGATTCTTGACTGGGCTCTTTGCTACTTCCGAAGGCACTGCCGCCTTTGCCCTTGCTCCTTCGGGTGGTGCAATTGATGGGAACGGACGACAAGTTTGGGTTCAGATTGTAGGCTTCCTCTTCGTCATCGGATGGAATCTTTTCTGGACCAGCGCCATCTGTCTATTCATCAAATACGTCTTGAGAATCCCTCTGAGATACAACGAAGACCAACTTCTTATCGGTGATGGTGAGGTCCATGGTGAACTTCCATACGCCTTCTTCCACGACGGACGACATGTGAGACCCTCTCTTATAGCCCTATATTACGCATTTGCTAATTGCTGCAACAGGAGTACGATGCCCACTATGGCAAGCCGAACGAAGACGTGGAGAAACGCGCAGGAGTGTTACATGGCGTGGATGCCGCAGGACATCTCGACAGTTCGGAGGCCGAAGCAGCAAGTGGTAGCGGCAGCGCCAGTGGGAACGGGGCGAGCAAAGCCACAAAGCAGGCATAATCGAACATTATTGAGCTCTCCTTTCCTCGCTAGAGAGCAGGACTTGCATAATAAGCCAGGGAGGCGCTCGGTGTGAGGTATTGCCTCGTGGATAACCAGTCTTTCGTCGTCGTCATCATCTTCTTCTGATCTTGAGCGGGCACTTTTACACAAGTCTTTAGTATTCAAACAGCATTAACAGAATGGTAACAAAAGACACGAAGATCATTTGGGATCTTCTCACCACCTCAAATCTTAACTTTTTCATTAGGCCATGCTTGGTGGCAGCGGCCTGCGCATTTCTTTTCTTGAAGATGCCAAGTTGGCATCATAGTATCTAGCTGCATTCTGATCATGATTGAGTTGAAAAGGGAGCTGGCGATAGGGTAAGTTATCGCAGGGAATTGAGACTGAGATGTAGGCGAGGAGGCTGTCAAAGCACTTTACGCGTCGCGCTCGTGTTCTGCAACCAGCTCGTCTGACAGAAACAAAGCATGGGACAGAGTCGCTCTCAGTTGCCTGACACGAAGCTTCACTTTTTGACAACCACTGTCTCTTTCTCGCCGATCAACCAACTCTGCCATCCCCATCCGCAATCAGATTCCTTTCTCCTACCATCTTTCCTCTTGCAAAACTCTCATAGTTGCATGGTCTCAAACCTGCTCGCTACACCAATTCCCTTTTCCAACTTCAGCCCCCCGGCCCATCCGCCTTAATAGCCTCTCCCCGTTTCACATCGCCATCAATATTCCGGCTCAACATGGCATCGGACCCAACGTATCGCTTTGGTGAGTTGCTTATGCGTTTCTCACACATTCAAAAAACATCGAAATAGTACAGTGTTTGTGCCTTTTGGAAGTAACAACCTCGTGCAACCATCCGCTATTCATCAGCTCCCACAAATGCCGTATCTCAGGCTGATCTAATTAAATGCAGAAATGGCCAAAACCGGCCGCGCAGGCTGTCAAAATACGGCATGCAAAAAGGCGGGAATCAAGATTGAAAAGGGCGAGTTCAGAATGGGGACGCTGGTGACAATTCACGAACACACCTCGTGGATGTGGAAGCATTGGTACGCTCCTGTACGGAGATCCTGGCTGGCTGTAACTCACTATCTGAATCCAGGGGTTGCGTCACACCTGCTCAAATCAAAAAGCTCCAAGATCAGGTCGGTCCGCTGGAGGATCTGGACGACCTAGATGCCGACTTGGATCGTATTATTGATGGCTATGACGAGATCGATGACGGATCGCGTGAAAAGATCAAATATGCACTGATGAATGGCCATGTAGCTGACGAAGACTGGAGGGGTGTAAGACTCCATGTCTCTACAATGTCCTGGTGAGGTGGACTAACACTTTCAACCTAGGAACCTGAATTCAACCGTCCAGGGATGAAAGGCATCAATAAACGGACCCCAAAAAAGAAAGAGGCTGATGACGACGAGGAAATTGCTGCAGAGAATGAGCAGACTCCCTCCAAACCCAAAGCGAAGCGAGGTAGGAAAGCCAGGGTCCTATCAGACGAGGAAGAAGACCTGCCAGAATCGCCGGCAGCCAAGAAAAAGACCTCACGTCGCAAGATCAAAGAAGAGGACGACGATACTCATCCTACCCAGTCAGCTCCACCGAAGAAGGCCGGAGGGAGGAAACGCAAAGTCGCTGTGAAAGAGGAAGATAGTGAAGAAGAAGCACCTGAGAAACCGACGAAAAGATCCCGCGCGAAGAAGGTCAAGTCTGAGGAGGTGGAGGAGAAGCCAGCAAAACCAGCCAAACGAGAAAGACAGCGGAAAAAGGCGGCATCGTCTAAGGATACTCCTGAAGATGAAGATGTCAAGGAAACCATTGAACCAGCCAGTGATGCTGTCGAAGCTCGCAACTCCAAACGCAAGGTGGCCGCCAAACGTGAGCGCACCAGAACTGGCCGCAGGACAAAACCAGTCAAATATGAAGAGACTCAGACCGGAGATGAAGATAGCGATGACGCACCAACCCGTGCCACGCCAGGACCGGAGGCAGCTGATGAGACTGGGGATAAGGTCAATGCAGGAAACAATGTCGATGCAGTCCCAGAAGGATACATAGGCGCTCTCCGCCAAGATGCTTCGAATACTGGTCAAGCAACCACCGGGACGGCAAATGCCATCACGGATGAAGACAATGTCAGTGACGTCGCTGAGAAAAAGAAGCCAAAGGCAACGAAAGGTCGCAAAGGAAAAGTCCCCAGACAAAAGAACACTAAGGCGAAAGAGATCTAGGCGAAGCCCGTCGGACCGGGAGTGCCCTGCCACTGTTTCCTCGCCTGCGGCTGATGATGCGACGACACAAGGGAACCGTATGGAGAATTTGTTTCGGTTTACACCATGGGGGGAACGTCGGAAAGAGAAGGTGTGTAGAGCGAAGAAAGAGGAGACGGGAATGGCACTGATACTGGCACTACGAGAGTTCTTGTCCCATGGAAACGGTGCCATGGAGACTGATCAGAAACAATCTCTTATTTACTGGCTGCGGACAGCAATATGCCTGGGTTGTTGTGGCGCTAGGTGGTGTTCAGCTTGACCTGTTCGTTCAGTCCTTTCAATGGCGTTCTGGAAGAGGGGAGTCAGCATAAATTGATATCCTGTACTATTAGTCAGTGTCATAGTGTCTACAGTGGTCTAAGAGCGAAAAGCAAATCATGGATCTAGGGAATGTGGAATATGACTTGTCGAGAAGTGAGGTTCTGTCCTTTTGCGAAAAGCACCTGCTAGAGCGTCTATTTTATATTCCTAAAATCTTCTCTACGGTCTTTTAGTGGAGCTCACAAGCACATTTCAATATTAGCGCAGACCACCGATGCATTGCGGAGAGGATGCCTACTGTTCATCGCATTCCTGCATGGTCCTTAGTGGTCACACCGCATGGCGGAAGTAGAAGTGATCTTGAGCGAGCGACTGTCGCGAAGTCTTGGCAAGATGTTGTCGGTGAACCTTCCCGTTCAGAATGTTGATTGGTACTTCCCTCTCTCGATGATATAGAACATCCTCGTTACAGACCCAGCACAACCTGAAGGATAGCCGTAATGACACTATCACAAGATGAAACCATTGACAGGTGTGGCAAAGCTAGACCTCAAGACCTTGTCGCACACATACCACATGGAAACAGCATTCTCAAACTCTCCGACGGCATCGCAGTAAAATTTGGTTACGGGGTGACCGAACACGAGGCACACAGTCAAGATAAGGCTTATCAGATCTTGGATCATGATATCGTCCGAGTGCCCAAGGTCTACGATTTCTTCCAAGATGGGCAGGGTCGTGGCTACCTCGTCATGGACTTCATGGAGGGCCAGACACAAGATTCGTACAAAGACCACTCGCAGCTCAAAGCTCTCTTCCGGATCCTTGATCATTTTGCCATCCAAACATCTGAAAGGCCAGGATCATTAGGTGGCGGACCATCTCGTGCCCTTCTCTTTGGTGAATCAGACCCTCTGACATTTGACACCATTGACAAGATTGAGCGGTGGTACAACATGCGGCATCTTGTTCCAGGGGCGACCCTTTCGTTTCAAGAATCCGAACTGGTGCTATGTCACCTTGGCTTATTTCCGCGAAATATCTTATGGCATCCAGATCAGCCGCCTTGTGTGCTAGACTGGTCCTCTGCAGGCTATTACCCGAGGATATTCGAAGCTTGCTCTCAACTTATTCGCGAGAGGTTGGAACAAAGAGGTGGCGTTCTCCAGATTCCAATACCAGAATGTGAGGCGGACCGAGTGTCACTAATTTTGAAAGCGTGGGGAAATGCTCAACGGTTTCACTTGTAGGTGTCTTTGGCTTGTTTCGGTATCGCTAACTCTCGGGCAGTACAAGAGCCGAAGGACGATATGTCGAGCTAGATGTAGCCGCTTTACTGGCTGAATACCCTGGATCCCTCCCAAGTCCTCCTGGATCTTCAGTTGTGTACGAGCCTCCTCCAGATTTGCCTGCATGAATTGAAGACATGAGATCCCTGGCAGTCAAACGAGTCTGCTCCATTTCCAAGGTGCCAAAGCCCTATCCAGTACCCCGAGGAATTGAAAGACAATAAGGCGAGGTAGGCAGCAGAGCCAATGATACCGGAGAGGAGGACAGTCAGCCTACATACGATAGGGTTGAACGAAGACCTTCCTCCATGCCATGGGCACTTTGGGCAGTGTTCGGCAGCGTCAAGAACCCTCTACAGTATAGTATTAACGTCCTCCACCTCCCCCCCTCTCCATCCCGTGCACTGTGCTCTGCTTGTTGTGCAGACACGAAGGCTACAAGATACCCGCCTTGGTTAATAATGTTCAACCTGGAAGCACCCGACGTCAATATCTACTGCAGATTATGGATGGCTTCACGCTCGTCATCACACGCTCGCGAAGTATTGCAACCTTTTAAAGCGGTAAGGATAGTAATAGAAGACCCTGTGCATAACTAGTATAGTGTCCTACCTGTCTCTTTTCCACAGGTTTACAGCATAACCGTTCCATGTTATGACTATCCAAAATGTTAGAACTACTCCTGTTAATGCCACGCCAATGCCTTCAGTCCAGTCACCTGGCCGTCCAATCCATCCACCCGTTCAGCACATTACAATGGTACTACATTTACCCTGCACATATCCAACACCAGAGGCCGTGTGTCTCTCTACGGAATTCTCAAAACTCCCTGCTCTCGCCTATGTCACATATGTCAAACACTCCCGTTTCTTCCATGTTATGGTGTTTCAACGCCTCCTTCAACAACCGGGGTGGTTCCAATACATCCTCCTCCGTCAACACCCATGTGCCCCAGTGTATACCCAGTGCCCTCTTGCACTTTACGTCCCTGAATATCTCCACCGCATCCCGGGGATTGGCGTGCATGGGACTCATGATCCACCGTGGCATATAAGCCCCAATGGGAATGAGACCCAGGTCAAACGGACCTCTGAGACGGCCGATATCTGCAAATGCCGGGCAATGAGGTAGCTTTGAATACTCCTCTGCCCAGTCGTCCTTGCCCTCGGAAGACTTGGGGACGGTACGATACCCGGTGTCCCCGCCGAAATACACTGACTTAGAACCTGACGAGACTGACCATGAAGCCCATAGAGTAGCAGCGCGGTCATGAATCGAGCGTGCCGAAATGTGTTGACATGGGAGGCAGGAGATGCGTGCTGTTATTGCGTCTCGTGAAGAGGCTATATTGGGCTCGTCAGTCGAGGAAACACTTGCGCGCTTTGTTTCCGTAGACGTTGGAGGCGAAGGTGTCAGTGTAAAATCCACCTCATCCCACCAGTCTAGCTCGGTGCACTTCTCGATCCCGCTATCCGAGAACCATTTCTTGTTGCCCAGAGGCACGAAGAAGTGGCACTCCGGGTTGTGTTTCGCGATTTCCAAGACGGTAGGGTGCGAGAGATGATCGTAGTGGTTGTGCGAGATGATAACAGCGTCGATGACGGGAATGTCCTTTATTTGACAGGGCAACTCTGTATATCTCTTAGGCCCCAGCCATGAAAAGGGTGAGCATCGATCTGTAAAGACTGGGTCGAACAGGACGCGTAGGCCAGTGGGGAATTCGACATAAAAACAGGCATGCCCGAGCCATGTTGCTCTAAGAGAGCCTGAGGAGTTTGCGGTGCGCGACGGAAGAAAGGTAGGCGGACGGACAGGGACGGTCGGAGGAGTTGTGTCAGGCTTGTTCGCTTTGCCAGTCAGCCTCCTCTGGAGGAGACCCCAGAGAAGGGTATGCAGTGAGTGCATCTGCCATGACGGCCAAGGGTTTTGAAAACCACCACTCTTGACGTGCCACGCCTTGGTCTTTGTAATCTCGTCGTCAGGTTTTGGGGACGCGGTCGAGGGGATGGCAATGGTGGCTGCGTACAGGAGAGCCGCTGTAGAGGAGGATGTCATGGTGCGTAAGGAAGGTGGATGTGTAGCAGTGTGTGCTTTGAACGATGTGCGCTTGCTGAACAACAGCCGAAAGAAGGAGCGCATGGAGCGACACAGGGATTATATGCAGCGAGTCCGTCTCTACATGGTTTCCTGCTGCCTGGGAGAAGCGACTCGTATTTTTGTAGAATGGAAGATCGTCATCAATGCAGGTGGGGAACAATCATTGGCTTAAGTCCGTCGAGGTCCGGACCTGCATATCGGAACCGGCCAAAATATCCTCCCGAGTTCATTGCGCAAAGTATCGAATGCATCATTTCCAACTCAGACAAAGTTGTATCGCTCTCAACCTTTCTTGACGAGGGGATGCAGAGCGACAATGGACTGGTCCAGGTCGCCTCGAACACAAACACGTCACTCTCAACGCCGGCTTTGACCGATGCGGCCTCTCAAAAAGCTGACCTTCTGCGTCAAGTCGCAGGCACGAGCAGTTCTACAGATGGCGGGCTGATCGCGCAGTTGCTCAGCAACCCCTTCTTCACAGCCGTGAGTACTGGCGCAATTATAGAGGATGTATTTAACGCGCTGCTAGGGCTTCGGTCTTGCTGGTCTCGGTACCCTCTTCACCTTCGGTCGAAGAGGTCTTCGGCATGGAGCTGCCCTTATGCGACGACGTCTTCTGGTCGACGTCGAGATCAGTGTTCGAGACGACTCCTACCCCTGGTTTCTCTACTGGATGACGTTACATGAGCGAGGGCGATTGGCGCAGAAGGCATCGCAGACAAATACCGGTGCTTGGGAGTCTCTGCTCCAGCGACTCACACCTAGCATGCGCCATTTGGCAATTGAGACGGAGAAAAGAGAGCTGCCTAATGGTGCCATTCACACAAATTTTGTCTTGATTCCTGGTCCCGGTAGGCATGTGATCCGCTATCGGAATGCATGGATAATGGTCAACCGCCAGCGCGAGTCGAAGCAGTTCTCGATGGATGGAAAACCGTGGGAGACCGTTACCTTGACCACGCTGTATTCTCAGCGGCACGTCTTTGAATCGTTGTTTAAAGAGGCTCATGATATCGCCACTCAATCAGTCGAAGGTAAAACTGTTATTTACACCGCATGGGGTACAAAGTGGGATAAATTCGGTCACCCTCGCAGCAAGCGGCCTCTCGAATCCGTTATTCTCGACAAAGGTGTCAAAGAACGCATTGTCGCCGACGTCCAGGACTTTCTCTCTTCGGCCAAATGGTACTACGAACGGGGAATTCCTTACCGGAGAGGCTATCTCCTATATGGGCCGCCCGGAACGGGTAAATCATCGTTTATTCAAGCCCTCGCTGGGCATTTGAATTACGATATCGCCATGCTCAATCTCAGTGAGCGTGGTCTGACGGACGATAGGCTGAATCACCTCTTGACAGTCATTCCCCAACGGACGTTGGTTCTTTTGGAGGACGTTGATGCGGCATTTGCAAACCGCCGGCAAGTCGAAGCCGACGGGTATCAAGGAGCCAACGTGACATTCTCCGGCTTGTTGAACGCTTTGGATGGTGTGGGCAGTGCCGAAGAACGCATCATCTTTCTCACGACCAACCACGTTGATCGCCTCGACGAAGCACTTGTACGGCCTGGCCGAGTAGATATGACAGTGCGACTCGGTGAAGCCACGAATTATCAGATCGAGCAACTCTGGGCTCGGTTTTACAACGATGCGGATCCCAAAGGAGTGTTTAGGCAGATGTTCTTTGAGAAACTCCATGAGATAGGAGTCTTAGCCCCCGGACCTGGGAGAAGCAGTCGGACGAGCATGGCGGCCCTGCAGGGGCTGTTTTTGTACAACAAAGGAAACCCTCGTGGAGCCATTGACATGGCATGGCAGCTCGCACCGGGCGAATTACCCAGTGCCTTGAATAAGGACAGTCAAGCGCATGCCATCAACGCCTCTTGAGCGACGCTCATGCAGTTCGGCACACTACGGCTGTGTAAGCGAACTGGTGAGGTTATGTCACTATATATCTGTATACATATCTTGTCTATTCGCCAAAGTGTGGCGGTGCAACTGGACCTCCTCAGCCTCCTTTGGCCCCCACGGTCACTTGGCGAGCTGAAACGTCGTTTCCAGTGTAAGCCATATTTCTACTCGGTAACTTCAACTTGTTCAGAAGCCCACAAGCACCATTTGAAATACTCTAAAAGAGGGCTTGTCCATATCCCTTCAATTCTGTGATTGTCAGATGCGCCTCGGAACCAGCCCTGTGGAGTACATAAAGAGCCTTGGTGAAAAGAATATATCCACATGTGTCCTCCAACTCGTCACGTCAACTATTTGGCCTTGACATCCGGAATTCTACACAATGGCTGACCCGTTTTCGATCGGGACTGGAGTTGCTGGCCTTATCGGCCTGGCGGCCAGCATCATCAGCCAATGCTATTGTTATGGTTGTGCGGTAGCAAACGCCCCAGATGAGGCAAGGCGACTCGTATCTGAAGTCACCAGCCTGAATGGCATCTTATTGGGTGTTCGAGGGGTTGCTGCACAGGTGGATCTTCCAGAGTACCAGCTGGAGTCAGCATTAAAGAACTGCCAGGTTGTGCTTGAAAAGGTGTCCACGAAGCTACAAAAGTTCTCCCTCGATTCGAGCAAGTCGTCGGGGAAGCGCGCAATCAATCGCCTTCTTTGGCCGCTCCGGAAGAATGAGACTGAGGATCTCATTACGGCTGTTGAAAGACACAAGAACTCACTATCCCTTTCCCTCAACTCGCTCTCAGTGTAAGTTCAACCATGCTCACCGCGCAGGAGACTTACTCAAAGGCAAAATAGGGAGGCACTCATGAGCCAGAGCGCCAACATAGAAGCCGTCTCAGAGACCCTGGCCGAGATAAAATCAAGCAAGGAAGATCAGGAGCGAAGGGATGTCTTACACTGGCTATGTGAGCATCAGTATGAGGCCCAATTCCAGCGAGCATACCAGCTTCATTGCAAGAACACATGCAAATGGCTCCTCCACGACCCTGCCTTTCTCGACTGGTCCAAATCCAGATCTTCTTTACTCTGGATGCATGGCGCCGCTGGCTGTGGGAAGACCGTGGCTACAACTTTCCTCATCCATCATCTCCTCGAAAGACAACCCGTCGACTCTCTGTTGGCGTATTTCTATTACGATGCCAGCACGATTGAAAGCCTGACTCCACAGACCTTCTTTGGCGCCATTGTCAAGCAGTTCTGTTCGAATATCTCACCACTGCCCTCCCAGATCATGGACGCTTACAGGCGAGCTTCAAGTCGTCTCGGCACCCCGAGCCAACCAAGCCTACTCGAGTTGAAGTCCTTCCTCCAGCTACTGCTACAAACTACCGACTCGGCAACAGTGGTCATCGACGGTCTTGATGAGTCCTCCGACTACTCTGCAGTATGTGATTTCCTAACCTCGATGGTGCGAGGTGAAAAACACGCGCTCCGCGTTTTCATTTCTAGTCGACCAGAGGTGGACCTGCGTCGATCTCTTGCTGGGTTTCGAGATATTCCTGTTCCGGAAGAAGCGATTGAACAAGATATCAGCGTGTACATCAAGATGAGAATCCATAATGACCCACGCCTGGGCCGAATGCGCGATGATATGAAGGATTTTGTGGAAGCGACACTACGAACAGACTCCAACGGGATGTAAGTGGTGATATGGGATTATAGCCCAACTAAGTCTTCTATGGGTGCTTGCTGACTTTTTCAAGGTTCCGCTGGGTACAATGCCAGCTAGACGAGATGTCCAGGCTGAGGACCGTGGCTTCTGTAAAGCGGGCGCTCACTCAACTTCCTGTGAGCCTTGAAGGCTCGTATCTGCGCATTGTTGACAGCATCGCTCGAGAAGATATCCCATTCGCCACACGAACACTGATGTGGCTTGCTCACGCCTCCACACCACTGACCTTGCCCGAACTTGCTGAGGCTGTTGTTCTAGAGCCAGACTTTGACGAACTAGACCCCGACTCTAAGCTTCATGATCCGAACGAGGTTCTCGACATTTGCCGGAGCCTGATAGCCTATAATCCAGTTTCGCAAACCGCTCGCTTGGCCCATCATTCGGTTCGCGAATTCCTCACTGGGCGCCTTGATCCGACCTCGCAGTTTTTTATTCCAGCGCCCTCGTCACACCGCACTATCGCCGAGGCTTGTATCCGTTACCTTCTTCTGGACGACTTTTCGGCCGGTCCATTATTCAGACCAGATTTCATGTGGACACTCTCCAACTTTCCGCTGCTTCGATATGCGGCTCAAAACTGGACGTTCCACGTGCAGAGTTCGGGTGCGGAAGCCGAGTTAGTCCCTCTCATACGCAGACTGATGACCACACGGTCGAATCCCAAATTCCTCTTTTGGCTCCAGGTCGTCCTCTTCGACTCGTGGCACGGCTACGTACCCCCGAACACGGACATTGAGGCCGCCCGGCCACTCTACTACGCGGCGTCCTACGGTCTGACGGAGACCGTGAGGAGTCTGGCGAATGCGGGCGCCAACCTCAACGAACGGGCTGGCCGATTCGGCGGCACGGCACTGCACGCCGCTGTGTGGCGCAAGCGGCCCGAAGTCATCGACATCCTCCTCGATGCCGGCGCCGATCCTACCATCAGGGACTACAACGGGCAACTCCGGCAGACCTCTCCCTCGTCAGCGGGACGAAGCTGCACGAACGAATTTACAAGGAGAAGCGCAACAAGGGAACCTTGAGTGTCTTGTTAGACAGCGTCCTCAGACTGCGTGACAAGGAGCACGCCGTCTCAACGTCCCGGAGTTCAGATGCGGTTCAGGAGCGGGAGCGGGAGCGGGACCATCAAGCCACACATACTCTCAAACTGGTAGACGACAAAGGGATCTATCGGTCCTGATTTGTGGAGAATATCAATAGCTATTTCGATTCCAATCACAATTGTTCTAGTAACGGACGAACGAACGACCAAACGGCCATGACGAGCTTAACGGCAGATACGAGCATGCATGCAATTTACTTTTTTTTTTATCTAGGCTTGAGCTGACAAAGGAGAGAGAGAGCACAATGTCGAGTGTTCTGGATTTCGACATCCAAATCTATAGATATGAAGCTATGAGGATATGTTATACATGTTATACATGTAATCAAATCATGATGTGAGGGCACGGGAATCAAGAATACGGACATGCAGAATATGCATCAGTAGAATTAATTAATTGCATTCCTTTTATCCCTCCCAAAAGGGATACTTTCACTTGACACCTTAATAAGATACATACCCCTACCCAATCCTGATCAACAGTATTCCCTATCCTGTCGCTAGCCGTGCACGACTTGAAGTCCTTGCAGCCGAGCTTTCGCATGCCTAGGTGCCCTTCGAGTAGATTACCTGAAATTTGGAGCGAGAGCGATGTGCGGTGTGCGATGTGCGACATAGGATTCTCATATTCCGGAATTTAAACACGCAATAATGGAGACTGGCATTTCTGTTTTTCATCTCTTTCTTCCCAATCTGATGACATCTCATCTGGCATTGTCTGTCAACTATTGTTATAATCTATTAACATGATCATGACTCGTTTTCGGGGATGGCCACTCCGCCGTCTTCCTCGTCGTCGAAGCCGTCGTCATCCAGAGCGCCAATTCCTGCCCCGTCCTGCATCTCCAGGTCACGCTTGGGTGCGACATCGCCGCCGTCGACACTCTTGGTTTCCGGTTCCGGTTCAGGAGAAGAGCTGTTCCGCCGTCGAGGCTCGTTGTCGGCCGTGTCTTCGGGCCTGTCGTCTAGATTCATCTCTTCTCCCTTCTCATCTCCGCCAGCTTTCGTTTCATCGTCAAGCCTGCCACGCGGCTCGTTGCCCTTGTCCTGCTTCTGAGCCTCATTCCAGCCTTTGCTCCGATTCACCAGCGGTGTGTCGTCGTTGAACAGACGCAGGAGCATCGCCTTTCTTTCTTCCTTGGGTAACATCAGGTTGAGTGATTGGATCGACTTCCACAGCGGAAACACCATTCTCTCCTCCAACCCTTCACCCTGGTCTCCGCCGCCCGAACCGCCCGTTGGGGAGGCGTCGGTCTCACTCGGCTCCACAGTGAGCACACAGCATCCCATCCCCATATCGCGCACTTGCTCGGCCACCTCGCCCAGCTTTTCGCCTTCGTCGCCGTTGAATCTGGGAAACATCTCGATCAATAACTGCCGCAGCGTCTCTTTCTTTCTCAGCTTGACTATTCTCTCGGGCCCAACCCACGCTTGCAGCATCCTCAGCCCGTCCGTTTGGATCCGCCACGGACACACTTCCGGACTCGGCGCGTCCTGCTTTACGTATACCTTGACACCAGCATGGACGAATTTGATCCCCTTTCCTTCATTCTCCTGGAGGATTTCCTTGGCGAGTTTGTTGGTGTAGTAGATGTTCTTTGTAGGTGTGCCTTCGGGATTGCGGACCATATAGCGGTCATCGGGGAACTGAGGCGAGAGGTTGTAGAAGTCGCGGATCTGTTTGAGTTCGGGAAGAGCGGGAGACAGATATTTAAATGGCTCCTCAAACGGTTGGTCGCGGTTTTTCCTCTTCGGGTTTTGTTGTCGCTGAGGCTCTGGTTGTAGGCCAGGGCGCGGGGAAGGTTGACTGTTTCCACCGATTGAAGAAGTCGTGGTGTTGTCGAGTCCCTCTTGACTCTTAACCCGCTTGAGCGGCGCAGGATCCTGCTCATCACCGTCCTCGCGTTTTCGTTTTGTCAGAGGTCCGGAATCACCGTTGATCGCGTCGTTGACTGCTGCCACTGTTCCATTTGTTGCTGTCTCGGGTTTGGCATCAATTGCCGAGCTGTCGGCATTTCCCACTTGGACGGGCATTTGTACAGCACTGGCGGGCTTCTCCTCCGGCTTGACTCTAATCTCTGACCTCTTCTCCAGGATGGCGATGAAAAACGCTCCCGTATCTTGCTGGTGGGGATAAACACGCATGGCTCGATCGAGAGGCAGATCTTCCTTCGGAGGAAACATGCTCTCACATAGCTTGGCGATTCCCTCAGAGCCGGACTCTGCTCTCTGATCCAAAACAGACTTGTAGCTCTCCCAGATCCGACCAGTCTTGTCCATGACATTCCAGTGCTTGAGCCCGGGCGAGCGTTTTAACCCGGGAAGGAGATCCTTCGTTTCGAGAATCTGCACGAGCTGCGGACCTCCGCATCGACTAATCGCTTCTGCGAGGACGGCTTCATCTTCGACCGGGTTCATGCTGCAGGTCGAATAGACGACCCGCCCTCCAACTTTGAGCATCTGCAGTGCCCTGACCAGAATGCGCACTTGAGTGACATGGAGACCCAGGCCATTACTCGGTGTCCAGTTCTTCCAAATCTCCATGTTCTTTCTCACTGTGCCGTCTCCCGAGCAGGGAACGTCCGCTAGGATTCGGTCGAACTTGAGATAGCGGTTGCTCACAGGTTTCCCCTCAGCTGTTGGAAGAGACGAGATCTTGATGGAAGGGTAGATTGTTGCGTCGTGGTTCGTGACGATAATGTTTGGTGAGCTTAATCTTTTCATCTGATGGACCAACATGTGGGCTCTTCTATAATCGACGTCATTCGCGATGAGGAGACCAGTCGCCCGGCCATCGTCCTGATACTCTTCGCCCTCTGGTCTGCTGAGACCATTGGATATGTTTAAGGCGACCTGGCGACATCTTTCCTCTTCTCCAGCATGGATCATCTCTATCAGCTGCGCAGATTTGCTGCCCGGCGCAGCGCACAGGTCCAACACTGTCATGCCCGGCTTCAGATCCATGACCAGGGGTGGTATCATACTGACTACCTCTTGCCGGGTTATATTCCCCACGTCGGCCTCTGCCACAAGAAACTTCTGAAACGAGGCAAAGGGTTTAAATCGACGGATAACGTTCTTCGGCGTAGTCATGAACCAGGCCAACTGGTCGGGGTACCATTCCACGGGTCGAGGCGCGTCGACGTATTGCCCTTCGTAGGTGATTGAAGTGATCTCAGGGATATAGTAGTCGCGCAGTCGCTGTTGGACCGCCAGGGCATGTCTGGGCTCCGATGTCAGTACATGGGAAGAGAGTGTGTGTTGGCAAAGAGAAGACGTACGCTCTGGACCCGGTGAACCTAAAGCTGTTGGGTAGATCCCTTCGCATGGCACTCCAGAAGTCGTCCCTCTCTTCTTCGGCCACAATGCCAAGCTGGTTGTAGTATTGCTCAAACTTGTCATTGTTTCGACGAATATCCTGCTTGCTGCCGCGAGTGTCAGGACGAGGACGTGGTCCTCCACCCCCACCACCACCGCGGCCGCGACCACCCTGCACGAGACATCAGTACTAGTCAAGCTATGTGTTGAAAGGCAGAGCTTACCTTCTTGCCGCCTCGCTTGCCCATTGTCTCTGAATGGGCTAGAAATTGATATAGCCAAAAAAGTCAAGCGGCACGCAGCATTAGCAGCCAGCCATCCAACGCATGTGGGGAAATTTTGTGGTGCGGAGGTGCAAAGCCAAGGATGGTTAAAACAGCTTGTACTTTAGTCCTTTTCAAGCTATGTACTGATGCTGCCCTACCTAGAGCCTTCTTCAGGCCTACTGGATGTAATTGTCTTGGTCTGACACCAAATTCGGGGAGGTTTGTCGTGGACGAAGAGTATTTGTCTACCAGTACAATGAATTGCCCACTACGTGCACCGTAACTAGGAGTCCATTTGAGTATCGTTGTTTTTACTCCCATTGTTCTTGCATGATTTCTAACAGTTCCGAGCTCCAATGTCGGTCTGAAGTGAAGGATATGTAGCAGCATTCGAAACAATCAAAAGTGGACTTGTCAGACAACACCATGTATCACCTGGGGGATGGCAGCTTCCCACCTGTTGCATGATGAGGCTGACAGCAAACTACTCCTCAATCACCCTTGAGCAAGCACTCTACCTACAGATCTGACTCGCTTAATCTCGAACACCATAAGGCCGTGCCAGAGTGACGCCCAGCACGGCCTTGATGTCGCCACACGCTTGTCCGTGAGGTGGATCGAAGGTGACACTGGTGCTTACGGGTATCGTTCAGGTCGAGTCTGGAGTACTGGATGCTTGTGTTCAAGAAGGCTCCTCCTTTGATTACTAGCTTTTATGCAGCGCCAGGAACGCTCCTCAGGGTAGGGGATTTAATTATTCGTCAGCACCTCGGATTCCATCTGGCATCCAGTCATGCAAGAGGCTGATCCAATCAGAACTGGAACCGCAGTCGCCTAAGGCGTCTACATTCGGTAATACCGAGTAACCGGTTGAAGAAAAGGGTGCCAAAGGCCTCCAAGCCCGGATTTGGTAATGTACAGGGAATGGAATTTGCACAGCCAACCTCTAGCAATTACAACCCCCTATACCTTCAGACCTCATTGGTTTCACCAGAGAGAGAATTCCAGAGCAACGACAACGCTGGATTCGAGGGCAAGGATGGTTTCAGCTGACCTGATCAAATCTCCTCGAGACAAGGAATTGGAAACGTTGTCATCCTTGGCGATGATGGGAGACGGTGGACAACGCTGCGTGCGGCCGACGTCCTCGTATGGACCTCTATAGGTATATCCTCCTCATTCGGAGTACACAGCTGATTGACTTGATCCCACAGGCTCGATCCTGTTAGGGCAACGCGTTCGTTTCCACAATCTCCGTGACTGTGGGTGACACGATTGGTGACGCTTCAAAGTAATCGATTCCTCAACCAGAAGGATGCCTAATATCCCTCCGACATGGACAAAAGGGTGGCCGATCCTTCTCCACACCCCCAATCATGTTATGTCAACAGTTCGGGGGAATACCGCGGAAAGGGACCCCCATAAGGAGAATACCAAAATTAACGCAAGGCTGCGGTAGCGCTGACGAGGGCCCAATGAGATCGACGTTAGGCAAACGAGTACCGCTGCGTTATGGGAAATGCAGTTTGAACATTCTATGCACAACACGAGGGTCAAAGGAATGTGCAATTTGACGTGCTGCAGTCTTCTCACCGGCTGTCTACCGGAATACCAGTCGAGAACTCCCGAGACCACGGCATCAATCACAGGATTGGGGATCCTGTGGTGGTGCTGAATAGCCTTCCAAGAACGACCAGGACGAAACATGCAGCACGATATAGATATATAAAGGGCACTCGCAGCTCTTCATTCTCAGTGCCAGCCAGTCGTCAATCACTTCTCACATTTACAATCGGCAGATCATTTCCTTCCGTCACTCGTTACTTATCAGCTTCTGTTCAGTTCAGATCGCTTCAACACCGCAATAATGAAGACCTCTAGCATTCTTTCCTCCATCGCCCTTGCCTGCGTGGCAGCAGCTGCACCGTCTTCGGACTATGGAAGTTGGGGGAACGGCGGAAAGGGTGGCAATGACGGGAAATGTGTGTCCCAGGACCAGGCTACCAAGATTGTCCATGACTACGCCTTCTTCCTCGCCCACGCCGACCCCAACCAGCTTGCGCAAGCCAACGCGACAGCTCAAAGAATCCTCGCGGACGACTTCACTGAGCAGTCCGACTCCATCAACGGCTTCCTGGGCCTCAAGGTAAAGGACGTCCCCCATAAAGCGCAATTGCCGGAGAACTAATTCAGGATGTGTATAGCCCGGTGACCTCACTTTCCCCAACAAGCAGGGATACATCAGCGAGGTCTTGACCCAGCCACCCGTGATTGGAATCACCGACCTTCAGCTCATCCCCTTCAACTGCAACCAGGTCCTCTGGTACTGGAAGTTCGACAACCCGGGCAACTTCAACGCCCCGCAAGCGCCCCAGCCTGTTCAGGGCATGAACATCTTCGACATCAACGACAAGGGTCTCATTGAGCACGTCAACGTTGAGTTCAGCGTCTTCTTTTACGTCGACTTTGGATTCAACGTCTCTGGCTTCCGCGGCCCCATCACAGGTGTGAACCCATAAGCGACTCGTTCGGCCAAAGCAGTTACTCCAGCTGCACAGACATTGTTGGAGGGTGATTTGAGGATGCGACTCTGATTCACTGTGATTATTCTCTACATTTTGGGCATTATTTCTTCTGAACAGAGCCGGGTGGAAGATGTGGTTTCATATGCAGCGGTGTTGATAAGTGCAAGTGTTTACCGTAATCGTCATTTTGGGTAGCACTTTATAAAATTCCAATGTATTTCTTAGGTACATCATTTTTCCAAGCCCCTGTTACAATTTCTCACACCCATTTCGGGATAACATACGAGGATCTATTATTACATACTAGGTAGGTAGCCAAAGAAATTCTCCGCGTGTACATACCTGGTACCTAGTGAGCTAGATGACAAAATAAGTGGCACATTTCATCAAGTGCGAGAAGATCCCGCTCTTCGTCGATTACGACACCCCAATCTCCGTGTATCACACAAGTGCCCTTGACTCCGATGCTCGGCCAGTCACGCAGCTCTCGAGACAAGAAGTTGACTGCCTACTCAACCTCTTCTGGCAAAGACCGGATGTTGGCATGCCGATTTTAGACCGTGATACTTTTGAAGAGCAGTATGAAAGCCTCTGGACTCACAGCACACGCTCACAGAATTCATCGGCCCTTGTGAATGCAGTCATAGCCATCGCTTCACAGTACGCCCACGGATCTGGCCTCGTCGCACGGATTCCTCACTCAAAGAATTTTCATTGTGCTTACCATGGGGACGCCGCTCTGGCTGCGTTTTGCTACCTGCGGCGCTCTCGGAAAGAGGGTCGAAAACGTGGCCACCATGGCCCGACCCTTCATTGATGACTGTGCAAACATACGCCCTCGTAGTTACGTATTTGCGTAACGCGGGCCAGTATGAGACTGCCTATACGATGATCGGGCTGGCTATCCGCCTCGCGTATGCACTATTTCCCCAGCCGGGTGGAATTAACACTAAAGACCTGATACAAGCGGATAGGAGCAGGAAGACTTGGTGGATTCTAGTACAGCTCGATCTGAAATGCTCGCTGGAGCTAGGAAGACCGATGGCTGCGCGGTATTCAACTCCGCCCATTCTCTTTCTTCCCGTCCATGATCCAGACGCAGTGTGGTATTTACAGTACCAATTCTGCTGGTCGAAACTCACAGCAGCAATGCTCCTAGTGCACGAAATGTTCCAGCGACGCACAGCTGGCAACTCGGCTTTCGATGCAGCAATAGTGGGAATGACCTCTGAAACGATGGATTCCGCTTTGTATCCTTTGACGGAGTGGCTCAGGGAGATGTCGATGTTCACTTTTCTACAACCTAACACGAATGTCGTCTCCGCAAGGGCAAATGCAATTTCATCACTGAAGCATCCTTGGCTATACAAGCAAATAACTCTGTTCTGGCTTCATTATCACGACTATCTCAATAAGATTTATCGTCCGTGCATAAAATATACCAGTCCTGCGAATTGTGATCACGACGGTCATCTTGGCCATATCATCGCGCGTGCCAGAGAGTGTGCAACCAAGTTTAGCTTGACTGTTAGGTCTGTGGAAACCAGGATGAAAACTGTATCTCCACCACTTCTACAAAGTCATCATAATTGCAAGGGTTCCAGCCTTTTTGTAAGCTGAATTTCTCCAAATAAAAAGTAAAATTGCATTAATGCTGCCAAAGCCACCTCACCTCGGCTATTACGTCTTGAATCCCCAGATGTCGGGGAAGCATTCCCGGACATGCCCACCTCAAGGAGAGAAATTTAGATGATGCACATCCAATTTTGCTTCAAAATTCCTTTGTGGTTTTCGAGGCAGCAAGCAATGGCACTGACCAGTCACGACCCCAAGAATACTGAGCCAATTTTGCCCGAAAATATATCGATGGCGTTCGGCGAGGCTGAGTACCTCGAGGATTGTCAAGTCCACAGTATCAGTGCCGATGACACGATTGATGCCGACACGGTCGACCCGGAGACACCTCCAGATGGAGGCTGGCAGGCATGGAAGGTAGTGTTGGGAGCCTTCGTCGCTTTCATGTGCAGTTTTGGATGGTTACAATGTCAGTCACAATCCCAAATCCTTCCAAGCCACACAATTTTATCCGAACTTGCAATCAAGTCCGCAAACAATGAGCTAAATCCGTGACATAGGTATTGGCATTTTTCAAGACTACTACCAGAATGATATACTTCGCGGAATGTCGCCGAGTACGATTGCTTGGATTCCTTCTGTACAGTCCTTCGTAATGTACATGATGGTAAGTAATAAGCCACCAGATTTTTGAAATGGGTGATAAATTTACGGTTCTAGGGTATCGTGACGGGGCCCGTGTACGATAACTACGGAGCAAGATGGCCCATGTTGGCAGGCTCATTCCTCACAGTCTTGGGAATGATGCTGACCTCCATATCCACAAAATACTACCAAATTTTTCTTTCGCAGAGTATTTGCTGGGGTGCGGGACTGGCTCTTGTTTTCTTCCCTAGTAAGTCTCAAATCCTGGTTTGCATTCACCTGCCGGGCTGACAGGGGCTCTGTAGCTGCAAGTGTCTTGGGATCATGGTTTAAAAGACGCTATTCCCTTGTCATGGCTGTCGCTGTGTGTGGCTCAAGTGTTGGCGGAGTCATCTTCCCCATAATGATGGATCGCATTGTTCAACCTCTGGGCTTTCCATGGGCAGTTAGGATCGCCGGCTTTCTGAACCTGGTACTTCTGGTCATTGTAAATATGATGGTCAAGTCTCGAATACTGCCACGACCTCAACCATTACGCATTGTGGACTTTTTTAAACCTTTCGCCAAACTTCGATTCTGTCTGACCGTGTTCGGTGCATGTTTGGTATACTTTAGCATCTTTCTACCATACAACTATGTTATTGTGCAGGCGAAAGAGGCCGGAATGTCAGCAGGGTTTGTTCAGTATCTGGTCCCAATCATGAATGCCGCAAGGTGAGTCGCAAAATCCTCGATTATCCCTATCATCGATACAGATATCAGTGCTGACACGATCCAAGTATACCTGGGCGTGTCATACCGGGGTATTATGCTATTCATTATGGCGGTTATAACGTTTTCATTCTCATATCAACGATCGCGGGTGTTTTGTGCCTCGCAATGTGGTTGCCGGCGAGATCGGATGTCGCTATAGCCGCTTTTGCTGGACTCTATGGAGCTTTTGGTGGCGGCATATTCACCATGGTTTCTTCACTGGTTATTTATGATTGCCCTGTCCGCGACATGGGAACTCGATTTGGAACGTTTTTCTTATCGACATCATTTCTGATACTGGCGGGTAATCCGGTTGGCGGAGCAATTGTCTCGCTTGAAGATGGGGGTTATACTGGCTTGAAGATTTTTACTGGAGTTACCATGTTGGCCGGAGTATTTTCGATCGTAGTAGCGAGATTGATGATCACCGACTTCAAGATCATGGTCAAAGTATGACATGTATAATCTTGTTTCACTCTGCGACTAGTTGTATTATGAAAAGAGAGTGGATATACAAGGTTAGATAAAGATTGAACGAGTCTTCTTATACTATGGCAATAGCCAGATAGACACATCACGAGACATCCTACATGCACTGGACTGGTGTGCTATTTTACTGCTTCTGTCTGTCATACCATTAGAACAACTTGTATGACTTTTTGTTCAAAATATACCCTCGAGAGGTCAGATTTTCTGATACCCCGTTTCATTCTCTGAAGTAAGGGTTGTCCTTCGGCCATGTCTTGATTCACAGTACACGATATTTTTACAGAATGAGCCAAATAATACTCATCCTGACAACTAACACGACTTTCAACTTCTGCTCTGATCTTCAGCGAAATCAACCGCGGCTATCATCTGAGGTTGTAACCAGACTGTCAAAGAGACAAGATAGCTTTCAGACTTTTCCACTCGTAATATTATTCATCATATCCAAGCGCGCAGTGAAATAATTACCGCGTGCCAATCACCTAAATATGTACCAGTCTCCGCACGTTTCTCCGTGATTGGATTACGTTCTCGAGGTGTATCTGGCGGTTGCCAAGACTCTCGTTCCATGTTCGGTTTGTCAGCAACCGAGTCGTCGAGCGGTGGGTGAGCGGCACCCAGGCGGCACCTGAGTCATGGACGGTGATAGCAACCTCATCGCTTGGTAGCAGCTACTTTCCGTTCTCGCGCGGCTTCACTCTCGATGAGCCCATGACATTATCTAAAATCGAAGCCGCTAGTCCCTAAAAACGAGGCATACAATGTCCCTTCGCCGTAAATCGTGCGATGCTTGTTTCAAGGGCAGACGGAAGTGCGACCTTTCCTACCCTGTCTGCAAAAGATGCAAAGCGAGCCAAAGGCCTTGCCATTATATTCATATGCCATTCAGGCGACAGAACGATACCATCAGGGGGGGATTCGACTCAATTGAAGATGAAGCCTTAGACGCAGCTGCGACAGTCAGTCAGGCAGAGAACAGTTCACAAGATGGGGAGTCGTGGGGTGCGTTGAGCTTCAACATCAACCTACAGGAGGCCAGCTCCATGGAAGAGCTTCTGTTCCCTTGGATAGCACCCAATATTGTGGGAGACCTGGGTGAATTGAAACCCGTTTCTGACATAACCCAGAGCTTCAATTGGGTGACTGCGCAGATGAAAACCTACCCTCGTTTATTTGCTCGCCAGGCGGAGACGCCATTTATTCACAAGTCGCTCTATCCAGATCTAAAACCCCGCTCGATTCGCGCAGCTCTGACAGTTTGTGCCGCCTCCGAGAATGTGGTTGAAGCAAATAAATCTATGCTCTTCCGCATCCTCGACGCCGAAGTCGTGGACTTGCTGCAACCTGGGTCAGGCTCGACGCCCACCCTGCTTGAGGATCTGGCAAAACTGCAGGCGATAGTGCTATACCAAATCATACGACTTTTCGATGGTGGCCTATCACAGCTTACTGTCCTGGAACAGCAGGCTGATATGCTTAAAGCCCTGGCACTAGGGCTTCTTCAGCGGTCAGATGTTGAGCTTCGCGATGCACAGCCTGGCTGGGAGTCCTGGATCCTAGCAGAGAGCGTTCGACGAACTGTTCTACTGGTTTTCCTGGTCTACGGAGTTCGTTCAGTCTATCAGCACGGCGTTTGTCTCGAGCTCCCGACGTTGGTTCTTCTACCCGTTTCGACCCAAGCCGGTTTCTGGAATTCAAAGGCCAGCTACGTGGAACTTGGTGATCAGGCGGGGACGTTGAAATACAATGATTTCAGCACGCTGTGGCTCACTTCTCCACCTAGAGAGCTTCAGGCTTTTGAGAAATTGCTTCTTGTATCTTGTAAAGGCATTGATCAGGTCCAAGCCCACGGCGGTCTCGACCTGGCCAATCAAAATGTTCAACCAGGCATGAGTCAATCATACTGAACAATAGGAATCCGAATCTCCTGTCAACGATTGTTCGACGTTAAGAGAACATCTCTCTTTAGAGGGACCAGGGTGTTCCTTGGATGACACTGAGGCATTTTCAAATACCTCACCACTCATTCTTGTTTGCCCCTCTGAATCGCCCGCTTTCAAGAAACCCGCACCGCGCCGCACCCCAAAGTTGTACGGAGTATGTATATTCGCGGGCAATTGTGGATGCGCCCCGCCCAATCCCGCACGCCGCCAGCGGCCTTCGTCAGCATCCTCAACAAGGTTCGTCACTCAGCCTTGCGGCCTTCATGCATTCACGTCAGTTGGTTGTAAATGGACGACAATTTATTAACACTTAAAAGGCGCGGTATGTACAGTATTAAATCTGTAGTCGTTGGATGGCTTCATCAATTCTTCCTCGTCTTCGACCTCTTTCTAGGTGAGTTTTATCAATTCGCAGATCTCGGTATAGCTTTTCGTTCTAGATCATTCCCTACCAATATTGGCTGACAACCAGACTTTGTAGATTTCTCTCGAGCGGATCATCCAAGATGCCCATCACCGAACTCATATTCCCAACGTACAAGCTTGATGCCGAGTCTCTTGCGGCTTTGAAGACCAATGAATCCCACATCTTCTCGCACCTTACAAACGTCAATGGTCTCCAAGCCGCCTTCAAAGGGCAAATCCTCGAACATAATGGATCTCCAGTTGATCCAAAGAACGTGAGAACATTGCTGGTTTTAGGTAGGAAGAGACTTCAAGTTTCCCTCTCTATTATTTCCTTGAAATTTTTGAATTGTTCCGAACTACATTTTGGTAGGAAGCATCTGATTGACGAATACATGGCGGTTACGTACGATAGATTGGGTCGACTCAGCGTCCTTCGATGCTTTCTATCCCAAGTCCGAAAAGTTCCAGGCCTTCATTAACTCGGTGAAGCCTTTCGTCGCAGCTCCTGCCGTGCCGGAACTCTACGAACAGCAAGAACGATCCATCGCCTGTACGTCGACGAATGTTACGCAGATCTTTAAGTCAACAACAAGCGACACAATAGAAAAGGCGTGGGAACAGCTGAAGAGCTCGATTCGAGATCAATACTCGATTGTAGATGCGCCAGCCTTTTACCATGCGACTGGGATCAAGAACGATCAGGGCAAATTTCTAGGGTTGATCGGGTGGCAGAATCTTCAGGTGAGCAAACATTACGAGACCTGAACTAAGTAAAACTCTGTTCAACCAACTATTTCTTTTTTTAACAACACTCCGGGTCAACAGAGAGACAGACACATCCGTCGGTCAATATTGTGCTTTCCGGACAGTGCTGGACTGACTCACGAGAATATTCAGGAATATGAACGTGTTGGAAAGACCAGTGCCGTAATGGCGCGCATCCACGAATTGAGCAACGAGGCTGGCGGAGAGGTGGAGAATCTCGTGGTGCAACTGGGCCAAATCTAGAACAGGGTGTCGAGGGCGGCGGCGGCTCACGGCATCCTCGACAGGTACATGGGCCGAAGAGCAGCCACATGCCAACCAAAGTCATGGCGAGGTTGCGGGTGAGGTGTTGGTGAAGGGGTATTTTTGCACGTCAAGTATGGTACCGAAAACCTCTCTACTCTTGATTGTTGTTGCAGAGATAGATATCTATTAATAACAGCCTTGCTCCCCAGGTGTTACAATCCTAGCCCATGCCAGACCAATCCCGAGCCTTGGCTTATTTGCTGTCTAATGGTTCGTTTCCCGGTTTGCTCCCACATGGATTATGTATATTTTCAATCTGCAAAGAAACATCACTTCTAGACTAGTTAGAGGAAATCAATGGTTCTCTCTCTCTTGAAGTACTTCCGCTTAACCTTTTCTTGTCCTGAATACTCATACAGCTTGGCCAGGGCGATCTTGCTACTTGCACAGCTTGGCGGGACATTATTCTACGATCGAAGCAGGAAGGTGTGCTATCACCGAGTTGATCGCGATCAGGACGGGGTGGTAACAGCAAGCATGCTGGAAGGAATATGGCGAGTGATTATATATTTTGGTAAATGATGGTAAAGACTATATTGTGAAATGGATCTGACTTTGTTTGTTGAACGAATACACGGGCTTCGGAACATCTTTTGTGTGTGAATGATCTTATACCTGGTGTTCTTCAAGGTCTGAAACTCCGAAGACCCACAACTCTCGACGAACTGTCAATGGCGGGGAAGTGGAGGTTGAGGTTGAGATGCAATGTCTCGTCGTGGACAATCACTATGATGTATATTCCATTTATTCTGATCATGTGAGAAATGGAGACATGACTCTCTGGATGTGAAGCACGTTGTGGCCTTCCAATAAAATTCTCCTTCTTATGTCGCTGTATCCCAGACTTTCCGCTACACGCTTCAGGTCTCTCATGCTATCCAAGTACCTCACCCTGCCAGTCAGTTCGACAGCCTCTGGTACGTTTCTGAGAAGAGTTTAGAGGCTGACCTCTCGACACAAGCCTAATCGGAGGAATGAGCGGCCAGTTCGGTGTATGGCACCCTGGAGAGTGACAGGCTTAGAAAACCCCAATGGTGTAGACATATTCCTAGCCATATTCGACCCGTAAGAGTAGCGAATCAAAGACATCAGACTTCCAAGGGACTTCATCAGGAACCCTGAAACCGAAAATCCCCATATTGTGTTTGTGGGGGAGGGGGAGGGACGAGCCTGAATGACGCTGAAAATCGTCCTCGTAAACCTGCCAAATCAGGCTAGTACTACCTAACCATGTCAGCCAGAACGGATGCTCAACATATCGAGGTATATAAGTTAAGTCCGCGGCGGCAAGGATCCGGAGTTATCTGGAGTAAATACTCCGGACGATGATTTATCTGCCTATCGAGTAGATCCGGCTCCTTCGATGATCCACTGAGCTGCCTCGGAGAATGTGTGCTAATCTAAACGGAGGCCACCAGCAAAGACCGTGATTTTTTGAGAAGCAACAACTTCTTGTAGAACCCAAGCTCGCGTGAGCTAGGGACTTCGAAGCAAAGCACACAGACGATGGAGGTCGCGGTAAAGCATGTTGCCATTTTCATTTTGATGACGCTGATGCTCACGGTAAGCCTTTGCCACGTTTCCGTGACTGAGATGCGTGACAATGCGTGCAGCAGTCGGTGAGGCTCTGGCATGAGCAACGCGAGCCACTGTGCAGGTGCCTCGTGATTCTTTGTATGATCTCCGTGTAGTAGTTTAGCACGGTCCATCTGCTAGAACATCTCCGTGTAACAAGTTGTAGATAGAGCACGCTAAGCAGTTCCGATCGAGCTCTGCCCTTTGGGGCTCCGAGATCAGATTGTGTTGATTGCTGGACGACCATCATGGTCATATAATTGAAGTCAGGTCTGCCGACGGTGTTGACCTATGATGTCAAATCCCAGAATCGTGTTATATACTGGAGTATTTGTGCTATTGTTACTCTTCTCTATCTAAAGATGCACGGTCACTTTCGATGGATCTTGCGTTGGCCCTTTAGTCCATTACAGGTCGTCAAGACATGAGCAGGTCAGGGCAGTCTGCATCATGGGGAGACTGAATGCACTCCAAGGTATGTAAGGGTTCATAATGAGGTAGTATCAGAAACGGGGTTAGCCGACCTGCAATTTCAACTTCAGAAGGACCGCGGGCTGATGACGCCACCTCTCCACTGGCGATGAAGTCGACTGTGGCATGGGGTGTCAATTTCAATAGATGGAACACCTATATGTCAGCTCTCTGATGGGAATGTAGTCCATACGGAGTCACGTCAATGCCCGTGGATCTTTTATGTTGACAATTATGCAGACCGGAGCCGGAGATTTAGGGCACTTAGTGAGTTCACTGGCACTTTAATGGTTAGCTTCTAATTGAGAGGCATAGACCGGTCACATATAACACACATATTAATGCCAATGGAAAATGCTAACATGGCACTAGACAGGTCTAGTCCGGCCTAATAAGGCCCATTCAGGCCACCCGCCCACCTCGGTCCTTTTCCCACCACCGGAGCCCGTTACTGAAGATGCCTACTTGTACAAGTACCTGCAACACTGCTTCTTCTCAGGCAGCTATGCCGCCCTATATCTCCATCAAAAGGAAACGGAATCTCAAAGCCAGCATCTGACCATGAAGCTCGTCATATCTGGAGCGACGGGATTCGTCGCCACGGAGCTGATCCGCCAAAGCCTCAGCAACTCCAGCATAACTTCGGTGGTGGCCTTGGCCCGTCGACCTATCACGGTTCCCGACAACCTTGGCCCTGAGGCAGACACGTCCAAGCTGAAGACTGTGGTCCTCGAGGACTTTTCAAAGTACCCGGACGATGTGAGGAAGCAATTGGAGAATGCGGATGCTTGTATTTGGTCCGTCTCTCCTGTCTATCCGTGCTTCGATGGACCCCTGCGGTTCAAATAAACGTGGGGACGGGGGCTAAAAGTCCAGATTCAGGACCCTCGCCATCACTCCCAGCAAGTCCAAAAGCATGCCGTGGGACGAAGTATACCGAGTTTGCCACGAATACACCATGGCCGGACTCAAGACGACGTTCGAGTCGTCCAAGGTTGCGAGCGAATCGACCCCGTTCCGTTTCCTGTACATGAGCGGCATTGCCGCTGAACGAGACCAGACCAAAACCCCCCGGTTCATGCCCAAATACTCCTTGATGCGGGTAAGTTCCTGACAATTTGACACCACAGACCGCCGAAGGCATCTGACTCCTGCGACAGGGCGAGACTGAGAACCAAGTCCTGGCGTTCGCATCCTCACATCCTGGCAAGATCGAGGCTACCGTCGCGAAACCGGGACTGATCACGCAGCCGGGGAGTATACATCACTGGCTGCGCTCCACTTTACTCTGGTATGTAATTTCTCTGCCCAGCATAAGTGTCGTGGAAATTGCGGCTGCCATGTTGGATCAAGTGGTGAATGGGTTTGAGAAGGATCCTTTGATGAACGAGGACTTGGTCAGAATTGGACAACGTGTGCTGCACGAGAGTAGTTGAGGAACTTCAATGCAAACCGGGGCTTATTGAGCCGACCGTGTAGAGAGGCAAGCAGATTGGGGGTTGCATATTATGGGTTCTGAACCTTTGCATTTCACGCATTTCGGCATGGCATTTGGCAGAAGGCAGGAAACGAATGCAAGCCGGAAAAATTGGAGGGGCGGTGCTGTGTTCCAAATTCGATATTGCCAGATGCGTGAACACTCTGTGCGACGACACCCAGAAGGTATCAAGTCCTTCATATCAAAATGCCTGTGCCGGTTGCCCGTGCCAGCCCAACCGACGCCTCACAATGCACTTTTGAACCCTCCCAGAAGCCCCTAAACTCCGCGCTTGTCAGATCCAGTCTTCATGATCACTAGAACACCCATCGGTAACTAGCATATCTTCCCGCGGTTTCGCTTTTCCTGATGATCTTAACAACGTTCCCTCTCTTTAAGCCCAAATATTTGGCTACAGGGTCGCTGAATTGGATTCGAGGCAATTGCGTCTCCTTCAAACGGTACCTATCCAGGAGCACTTTCTTCTCTTCTGCGCTCAACAATACATGTTTGGGCACTAGTTCATGTCTTGTAATATTGACGAGAAGGTCCTGCTCTTGAAACCATTCAGCGGTAATTCCTCGTTCGGTAAGTGGCTCGAAGGCGCGTAGGGCAGCAGCCGTCACTGGTCCAATGGTAATGAAAATCCCCGTGGTAAACTTATTCGCATCAAGGTGCTGGGCAAATGCGCGTAGATGTTTGATGCCAATGGTAGTTTCGGGACTGAATTCGACCCAAATCGTGCCGGCTGTCGTTTGAGGGTTCGGATTCGATTTCGTGGCCCGGGGTGTGTCGCGCTTGATCATCTCTTCCGTAGGGACAGCTTGGAGTTTCATGAGCCTCCTCCTATTAAATGTGAGAATCAGGAGTGAAGTCGTCTAGAATCCATCTCGACTCACTCGGCATAACCGCTTTGAGGATCGCCGAACTTGCGCTGAAACTGATCGCGCGAGATTTTTAACTCATCCTCTGCGATTGCGTAGCCCTAGAAACAATGTCAGCTCCAGCAAGACGGCGTAGAGGAACTCTGATCCTTCCGTACCCTGTCGACGAGCATCTCCAACACTGTCCTCCATGTCCGCCACAATCTTGTTACCTCCTTCTCAGCTTCGACTGAAAGTTTGGGCCTGTCATCGAGATCCATTTTGAGCGCGCTAATTGGGTGACACGAACCAAAGCGTTACAGAGCAGAGACGTTGTCCTAAAAGTGGCTGCTTTCGTGGATGTTTTCGTAGATGCACGACCGCAGGCTGAGGAAAAATTCTGGATAAACCTCGGCGGTACATGAGTTACTCGGATAATAGATTCGCCGTTCCGTGGGAACTGACTGATCTGACTCCTGGCCAACACCCATCCAACACCCTCAGGAGCGTCTAGCAGGACGCCTGTAACAAGGCTGCAGACCAAGCAGCAACAAGGCCTGGAAGGAAGTCGTATGTACTTAGATGTAAGATACCATAAGCTTGGTTCACTACAGCAAGATTGGTCCATTAATTGATGCTACTCCCATTCGTGTTGAAAACTATCTCTGGCAGACTGCAAGGATGTTCATAACCCGACGAATATGCAGACTCGGTGTCCAACGTGTCGCCGCGCCCTTGCTCTGGCTTATTCATTTAGTACGCCTTGATCTCTCAATTCCTGGATCGCGTCCGCAGCCCATTCTCCACATCTTCTGACTGGTTTTGTTGGGTCGAGCTTCTGTCCTTTGAGATTCAACTGACGTCCAGGGACTGCGATTCCTCGGCAGATAAGTTCAACTCGTTCATAGTCGGATTGCTTCACATGACCGATGTCTCGCTTCTCGTGAAATTCGGCCCGGTCATCAGGGCGCGTTGCTCTCTTGTGTTCGTATGTCATGCCCATCAGGATGTTGCCAGTGACGTGATAGGTGTGGCCCGAGCCGGTGCCGTTCTCATGGGTCTCGACGAAGATGGCTTCGTGGTCGCGCGCGCCATGAGTGTAGACGTGGAAGACGCGATATGTTGCCATGACTAGAATGTGAATGGTGTCAGGAGAGTTTGTTTGTTTGATTATGTGAAGACGGTGCTAGCTCTCGAAGGCTTTGTGATTGCAGATACCACGAGACCGACTAGGGAAGGAGAAAGGTCAAAAAGACTCATGGAGTAGAATATAAAGGCAAAATAAAGGCAGTGCAGGCCAAACACGATTCGTCAGTGATGTATTACCTTGGCGGTGCTTTTGTAGTTTTAGTGATTGTTGCAGCAGCGAAGAAGGATTGTCGAACTATGGCGAGTCTCAAGCAAGGAGAACGCCTGGTTCAGCATCGTATATGAGGCTGGGCTGGGTTACCCTTCCTTTACCTTCCCTTTAGGCTAAGCAGAACGCTCAGTTGGTTAGTTTGCTCACCATGGAGTTCCCCGGTATCACAGGCTAGATGATTCTTTGTACTCTATTTGCCACGTTGCTGAGGTCAATCATTGTGCAATTCCCCTATAAGCGCTGAAGTATGTTGCTGAGGTGTTTCGCTGGAATATCTCTCCTGGAAAACAATGTGGAGGGAGCAGAGTTATGGGTATTGCTTCTGTGGTCCCTGTGGTTCCTGTGGTTCACCTTTGTTGACAACTCATGAAGCTTCTCCATCAAAGCATGGTTGATCATGGACACGCTACAACAAGCTGATGATGGGTTAGTCTACAATTCACCGGAGCCGCTTAGTGGACCACAGATATCAGAGTGCAACTACTTGCAGCTCCAGCATTCTGGTCCACCGCAGCGACTACGGCGAGCTTGAAGAATGTCTAAACGAATTCTATCCGGCTGACCACAGGCCGCAAAGCGCCATTCACAGTCCCGCACGAAATTCCCAAGATAATTTTACTCCACACCGACTTGAATCGACACCAACCCGCAACTGCGACTCGAGGCGAGCCCTCACTTCATTCTCATTCTCATCACTAGTAACCTTGCCACTCTGTCTCGACCGCGAGACTCTTCACATTCACTCTGTGTCACTCTGTTGTCACCTAAGAAGACTCTGGCTTCCACGTGCTCCTCACTGAGTCCTTCTCTTCACCTGCCACGACCTAGTATGGATTAGGAGAATATATATTAACCTCGACCATCTCTACCACGACCTGTCCCTTCGGTAACTCACTTTTGGTATCTGCGACCCCTGTCATCAAAAATGGCCGACGTTGACGCTCCTGCTGCCGCCGATGGCGCTCACAAGCGTCCTGAGAAGCCCGACGAAGCCAAGTTCAAGGAAGCCCTTGCAAAGGCCGAAAAAGACCACGAGGCTGCCCAAGCTCGCTTCGTATGTCTCTTCACTCAATTAATGGAACATGAGAAACCTTAGCTGACACTTGACAGAATGCTATCCGAGCCAAGCTAGACAGCGCCCGTCCTGGAAAATCCACTCCCGCCAGCGATCGCTTCAAGGAATTGGTCGACGAACAAAAATCCATCCGTCAGAAGCAGCAGGAACACAAGGCCGCCAAGGCTGGACAACAGGAAAAGTTCAACCAGAACGATGCCTTGATGAAGAAGCTGTTCGCTGAACAAAAGGAAGCTCGCAGCCGTGCTGGATTCAAAAGTCCCGAGGAGATCGATGCCAAAATTGACAGCATCACCAAGCAAGTCGACTCCGGCCATATGAAACTGGTTGACGAAAAGAAGGCTCTTGCCGAGATCTCGGCTCTTCGCCGCCAAAAGAAAGGCTTTGTGGGCTTGGACGACTTGCAAAAGAAGATCGACGAGAAAAAGGCAGAGAATGCTGAACTAAAGAAATCGTTCGACAACCCCGAGTCCCGAGCCCTCTCCCAAAAGTTTGAAGACAACCAGAAAGAGCTCGATGAAATCAAGGCTGCACGCGAAGATACCAATAAGAACTACGACACCTTGAAGGCTGAGCGAGACCGCCTGTACGAGGAGCAGCAAGCGACTTACGCCGCCATCAGGAAGGTCAAGGATGACTATTATGCCCAGAGGAAAGCTTACAAGGAGTATGAAGACACGGTCTACCAGCAACGGCGAGAACGCCAAAAGGCCGAGCGTGAGGCGTACGAGAAGGAAAAACGCCGTCGCATCGCCGAGCAGAAGCTCGAAGAAGCCTCCGAGCCAGCATTCCTGGATCAAATCCGCACTGCCGAAGGCCTGATCCGCCACTTTGACCCGAACCATCAGAACGATGAAGGCGACAAAGGACCTGGTCAGTTTGCTGCTACTGCCCAGCGAACTGTTGATGAGTCTGGCTTTAAGGGCATGAAGGTGATGAGGAAGGAAGACGAGGACTTCTTCGTTGGTAGTGGTGGCAAGAAGAAGGGCAAGGGCAAGAAAGGCGCTGCCGCCCCCACCGACTCTGGCAAGCTCAATATGAACATCGGTATCATTGAAGAGCTAGCCAAAGTTGGGGTCGACCCTCCAAGCACCCAGGCCGATGTTCCTGGTGTGGTTGAGAAACTCAAAGAGAAACTGGCCGCCTGGAAGAAGGACCAGGACACACAAACCCAAAAGGTGAGGTTAATACCGTTTCGACTATTTGACAGCCCTGCTGACTTGCTGCTCCAAGAACATCGAAAAAGCCAAGAAAGAGATCGAGAAGCTCGAACAAGAAGCACTCGATGCATCCAACGCTCCGTCAACAAGTGCCCGAAGTGGTCGTTACAACCACGCAAAGAAAGTGGCGTCAAAGGATGTGGGCGTAAACGGACCTGTCTCTGCGGATGGTGAGCTAGCTCAAGAGAAAGACGCAGTTGCCGATGTGGCCAAGGAGCTGCAGGAAGCGAAGATGGAGGACAAGGAGAATGAGGCGGCTGAAGCCACACAGTGATTGATTCCGTGATGAGGACGGGCATTCAACTGGGCCCCTTCCCGTCGCATGCCTATGCTGTTTTTGCATTCCCCCGAACCTGTAAGTCCGGGGTATCATCGATGCATTGGGGAGCGGGTTGCTGCGATTCCAACAAAAGAACGCGAGAGAAGTCCGACAGATTAAAA